ATATTTTTCCCATATAGTGGGTTGCCTTTTCATTTTTGTTATTTCCTTTGCTATGCAGAAGCTTTTTAGTTTGATGTAATCTCACTTATTTTTTCTTTTTTTACTTTTGCTTTGGAGTGAGATCCAAAAAAATTATTGCAAGATTGATGTTGAGGAGCTTATGTTTCTTCTAGGAGTTTTATGGTTTCAGAGCTTACATTCAAGTCTGCAATCCATTGTGACATAATTTTCATGTACGGTATAAGATAATTTTGTGTATGGTTTCATTCTTTTGCATGTAGCTGTCCAGTTTTCCCAACATCATTTATTGAAGAGACTGTCCTTTCCCCATTGTATATTCTTGCCTTCTTTGTTATTAAAAAATAATAATAAAAGTCTTATTATCTTTTAGTTTGATAAGCAAAATTGTGTTTATCTTTCCCTCCCTGGTCTTACAGCTTTAGTTCTGGGTATCTTTTTCTCCCTCCCCCACCTTTATAGGCAGGCACTACTGGAAATGGCAGCCCCCAAAAGCATGCTCCTGCCCCTATCACTGATGTAACGCTTAGTCTTCTGGTCTGTGTATTGCATTCAGGTGGATGTTTGTTGGAGAGAACAAGATTCCTTTGCCTCTCTTTTTTTTCTTTTCTTTCCCAAGCCCATCTATTTTCCTTCCCTGCTCCGTGGCTCTGGATACCCTGTTGGCTAGAATTTAGAAACTGGCTGCCTCAATCTTTTACCTGCCCCGGCCTTTGTCTCTCTCCTTCTTGACTTCTGTTGACCTCCTGTTCCCACTCCACTAGTTCCTCCCTCACAGTACTGTCACTGCACTACTGCTCCTGGCGTCCCATCACTGAGTGAGTGTGTGTGACCTTCACACTGCATTCATGCTTCGAGACTTAGCTGCTGCAATGATGTCAGTGCTGCAGGTTAGCAGATGGCGGCGGCAACAATGAGACCTGACATGTTCTAATGACTCCCTCCTTCCCATCTTTGCTGGCCAAGCCAATGGGGGGGGCAGAGGTTTCCTTGAAGCATTTTAGGAGGGGGCCAAGGGAAACCAGGTTTGGGGGCTCCCAGGTGCTGATGAGGCCTGTGACCTTTGCTGCTATAATATCAGTGTTTCACAAGTGGGGCAGTTTAGGAGCCCACTTGCAGCCCATCAAAAATTGATTTAATTGCAATTTTTCCTCCAATTCGGAGCACTGGAGCCTGACTAATTAGAGTAATAGAGAGTAATAAGGCTCAGATAAAAAGCCTTCCTCGGCGGCCTTTGTATCTCGTGTCAGTGCCTGTCAGAGGTCAGAGAGCTTGCATATTCTATTAGGCAGCCCAGCCTTCATTTGTACAAATTAGTTTACCCAACAGTAATTAAAATGCCAATGCGGGTTGAAGAGAACTGAATACACTTGATGGGCATGTTGGTGAATGATGTGACAGCTCTGGTGGCCTCCCTTGCCAAAGTGTGTCAACCTCAGCTCAGAGGCGGCTGGGGCCTGGGCCAGCTGGGCGGCTCCGGGCCAGCCACGGGGCACAGCTGCTGAACACACCACTTCTGCTGCCCCTCGTCAGAGCCACTCCGTCGCTCCTTTCATCTTCCAGGTGGAGTCATTTGTTCATTCATCCATTCATTCATTCAACAAACACTTAAGGTTTCAGTATTGTTAGGCTTTATACTAGTGCTCGGAGAGAACTTATGTGGCAAGGGCTATAAAACCACTTGGGCTCTGGAATCAAGGCTGACTGGATTTCCTCCTACTTGCTCCCTGTGTGAGCTAGTAGTACAGCTTACGTTACTGCACTGTGTCTCAGTTTCCTCGTCTGTAAAATAGGGAAAGTAGAACCTATTGCACCGGGTTATGAAGATTAGACTAATGCATTCGAAACACCTGCTCAGAACCTGACACCAAGCAAGTGCTCAATAAATTACACCCAACTAGCCGCCAAAACCGGTTTGGCTCAGTGGATAGAGCGTCGGCCTGCGGCCTGAAAGGTCCCGGGTTCGATTCCGATCAAGGGCATGTACCATGGTTGCGGGCACATCCTCAGTAGAGGATGTGCAAGAGGCAGCTGATCGATGATTCCCTCTCATCGATGTTTCTAACTCTCTATCCCTCTCTCTTCCTCTCTGTAAAAAAATCAATAAAATGTATATTTTTTTAAAAAATTACACCCAACTAATTTCCCTTATCTTCCTCTTTCTTCTGTATTTTGTTATTTTCTATTCCTGCTGTCCTGATGTGAGGGCTCCTATGTCTACTGCTTGGACCTGATAATGATCTCTGTGATGCCAGGTTCGCCTGGGGGCCAGTAAGGTGGGTAGGGGAACTTGGCACAGAATGAGAAACTGTAGAAGGCTGGCTTCTGGTAAGGGCTCTCTTGTCCAAAAAGAGTAGAGTTTATGGATTCAGAAAGACTTCTAGACCCTCAAACTGAGAGTTTGTGCATTTGCATGTGTGAGATGAGTTTTTAATTTTTAGGTACTATTAGTATTTCTCATCTATTATCTGGTTGTGGTGCTTATTTCACTGCCCCAGTGATATACAGCTGTGTCATGTGTCATTCAGGTCTGAATCTGCTGATTTGGGAATTATTCTTTTAAGAAGCAGAGCGACCCCATTCATAACCCATGACTAGCTTCTTGGCCTTGTTGGCCATGAGCCTGGAAGGCCCTTTCAGTTCAAGTTTACAGATTTGTCCTGAGCACTCTTCTGGATCAGGCACTGTGCTGGGTCCTGGAATACACAAAAGAGCCACCAGCTGTTTCATGATCTCAAAGGTAACCTCCCAAAATGCCATTAGTTCCAAGAAGGTGAGATCAAAGTGTTTAGGGACTCAGCGAAAGATGGTCAAGCCATCTGGGAGCCAGCAGCTTCTGCCTCTCCTGTCCCTGTCCCCAGGCAGTGCCCATGGTTTGTGTTTGAGTCCTGTTGAGTATCCCCAGCAGAACCTGGCTCCAGATATACTTGACTATTGCTAGACTGTTTTTTTGCTGTGTCATATTTGATTAAACTCTTAGTGCCAGGCGCACTCTCTACTTCCCCTCCTTTTCTTCCTCCCTGCTCCATAGGGAAGTGAGGGGAAGACAGCTTGTGGGAAGAAATGTTCATGGCTGTCATATCCAGACGGTTAAGAAGAGCCTTCGTGGGGGAAGTTGAGAGGCACCCCTTCTGTGGCAGATGGACAGGGCCAGGGTGGGTTGGTGGGCAGGAATAGAGGCACAGACTGAAAGGTCCCACACCCACATCCCCACTCCTGCCTGTGGGAGTGACAGGGATTCAAGCTCCAGGTGCCTACCACTTCTCTCTCTGTTGACTGACCTTGACGCTAATTTAGGCCTGTGGTGGGGCAGAGGCCTGCCACAGATCTCCTTAAGAGATCTCTCTGTTGGAACCCCTTACCTGCCCCAAATCTTCAAAAATCTGGAGAGCCCAATTGCCAGCTCGAACGATTTCCAAGTGGCTATTATGTTTTCTACCCAAGGAATTGGCTTTACCAGTTATTAGTGGATTATCCTCAAGAGAAAAATGGGCGGTCAGGACACCACCTCCCAACTTTGTAGTTTGTGTCTTCACTGTCCAGCGGCCACAGCCCAGGCTGGGAGTCCCCTTGGGATAGGACAGAGGGGCTGTTTGGGCACCAATCTAGTTTAGTGGCTGCTGGCCCCTCAGGGGTTGAGGGGAAGCTAGGCTGATGGAGCATATCCCTAGAGGAAGTCCTGGCTTGAGGCATGGAAGCCACGGGTGGCTCACGTGGCTATTTTGTCAGTCGGGTTGAAAAGCAGATACCTGCCCTGCAATTTTGATTGTAAATCAGTGGATTGGCCTGCCCTAACATCTCCCTAGTCATAACTCGCAGGCCAAGCCTCCCCTTCCTCCTGCCCCCACCTAAAGCCCCCGGATTCTAAAGAGCCCTCTCCGCGGAAATCCATCTCCCTACGGACGTGCTTGGGATCAGAGAGCCACAGGTGCTGGGCAGGGCCAGGGTGGATGGGCTGCTGCCCCGCATTGCTAACATGTCATTAGTATGTCCAGTCCCTCTCCCCCCATGCCTGACATGTAGGGACAAGGCCCTGCCCTGCTCCGGGCTCCTGAGTGACACAACTGCTTTCAGCTTTCTTGCTTGCAGTTTAGGTTTTCAAGCCCTGGGTTCTGGTAGGCTTCCCCTCCCCACCCCTGCCAAATCCTCTAACAAAGGAGTGGTCTGGTATGCAGGTTCAAGTTCTAGTCCTAGCACTACAGCCAGCCTGGCTCACTGCACAGATCCTTCTCACTGGGCTGGTGCCTGCACTTAAGTTGAAACTCTGCAGATTGTATTCGTTGAACTTTTTAGCATTTAAGAGACACCCTGGGAAAGATGGTTAGAGCGTTCCTTCTCACCCGCATCTCGGCAGTGTCTGTCATTATCCTCTAAACCCTACCTGATGCCCATCCCACTCCACAGCGGCCTGGCTGCCTGGCCCCTCACATTCCCAGCTCTCCCACCTTCATTTCAGGCATCGCACCCATTTCATCTTTCATCTTTTCATATTGTTACTCACCTCTCACTATTTTCTTTCTCTGATTGGTGCCTTTACATCTGCCCTGTGCTTGTACCATATTACCAGATACCCTAGGCTCTGAAAGCCTTCAAGAATGCCCCCAGCACCCAACAGCCTGTTCATTCCTGTGCCAGGACTTTGTGAACTTCATACAGCTGAAGCCTGACAGGCTTGCTTCCCTGGGCCTCAGAGCTGTGCACCTAGAGATCGTTTTTTTTATGGTGGGCAGAGACCATGCAGCTAGGTCAGAGTGGAAGCTCAGCCATCATTGAACCTGTGGTTTCTCTGTGCCAGCAGCTCTGGGAGGTTACAGCCCTCACCGTGCTTCCCACTGGTCTTCCCACAACCCTCTGATGGCTCTTTTGGCTGCTTCTCTCATCCTGGCTTAACCCCAGAGCCCCCTGCACCGTCAATTGTGTAGCCATTTCCGCCACAAGTTCTGACAAGCCAGATCTGACTCTGCTCTCCCTTTGTTTGGCAGCTCTTTTGTGACTGGGACGGCTTGTTGTGGGCACTTCTCACCTCTAAGAATCTGGGACCTCAACAGGTAAGAGATTCCTGAGCCCTCCATGGCTTGCAGGTGGGGAGGGGCTGGAGCTGCCAGCGAGGCAGTGGAGAGAGTTGGCTGAGCCAGCCCCCCTGCAGCTGACTGCCCAGAGATCCAGGAGAAGGCTGGGAAGGACCCCTGCCCCGAAACTCAGGACAGCCTCTGCGGTGGTATCTACCTTCTTATGTGGAAGTGTTCTGTTAGCTTGAGGAAACTGTCAGAGTGATTTATAATTGGTAAATAATTTCATGTAAAATTTATTATAACAATTTAGATTTATGATACTTTTTCTCTGAGGAGCGCCTATGTGGCTACATAAAATCCCATCTATCCTCAGAGATGGTTTTTATAAAATAAAGATATTTTGAAAGTGGCCTACAGATCCATAAAAAGAATTATACAGAACAGTTAAAATACATCCAGGTTTTATTCAATTCTCTGTCTTGGCAGGCTTGACACACACACATCTGATTACCTGCCATCCTATTGTATGGTTTTAAAAAACTTTTTATTGTGAAATAATTATAGATTCATATGAGATACATCTTACATAGTATAATATCAAAACCAGGAAATTGACATTGGTACAGTCCACAGACACTTATTCAGATTGCACGCGTGTGTGCGTGTGTGTGTGTGTGTGTGTGTGTGTGTGTGTATGTGTCTGCGTATCTGCGCGTGCACATGCATAGGTAGGTGTGGTCTTTCCAATTTTACCAGGTGTGTAGATTCAGGTAACCATTGTAGAACTGTTTGTTAATTAGCACAAAGATCCCTCATGTACCCTTTATAATCACACCCATGCTCCACTCCCTGTAGTCCCTAATCCCTGGCAACCACTTGTGCCAAACTCATTTCTATAATTTTTTCACTTTGAAAGTATTATATAAGTGAAAGAATATAGTATGTAATCTTTTGATAACCCCACCCCCAGCATAATTCTCTTGAGATCCATAGAAGTTGTTACATGTATAAATAGCACTTCACTTTTTTTTTTATATATAAATATATTTTATCGATTTTTCACAGAGAGGAAGAGAGAGGGATAGTTAGAAACATCGATGAGAGAGAATCATCGATCAGCTGCCTCTTGCACACACCCTACTGGGGATGTGCCTGCAACCAATGTACATGCCCTTGACCGGAATCGAACCCGGGACCTTTCAGTCCGCAGGCTGATGCTCTATCCACTGAGCCAAACCGGTCCCGGCAAGCACTTCACTTTTTATTGGTAAATATAGTATACTAGAGGCCTGGTGCACAAAATTTGTGCACGGGAAGGGCCCCTGAACCTGGCCGGCGATCAGGGTTGATCAGGGCTGATCAGGGCCTTCTGGCTGCCAGCCGGGGCCTCCCTTCATTCCGAGCCACCCTCTGGTGGTTAGCACACGTCATAGCGAGCAAACTCCCAGTCAGTCAAATTCCTGAGGGAGACACTTTGCATAATAGGCTTTTTATATATATATTATAGATTCTCAGGTATGGGTGTAACCAAGTTTCTTTCCCCATTGAACAGAATTCACCCATTGAAGGACATTTGGGTTGTTTTCAGTTTTTTAACTATTGCAAATAGAGTTGTAATGCATACTTATATGTAGGGTTTTGTGTGGACTTAAAATTTCATTTCTTTGGGATTAATGCCCAGGAGTACAATTGCTGGGTCATTTGGTAAGCATATGTTTAGTTTTTATTACTTGCCAGAGTGTCTTAACTATTTTATATTTGACCCCAGTGTATGAAAGATCTAGTTTCTTCCTCTATGGCATTAGGTATTGTCACTACTTTTTTTTCTTTCTTTTTTTTTTCACCAAGTCTAAGAACTCTTCACCTCGCCCTGAGCACCTGCATTCTGGCTTCAGTGCCATAAATAGCAATGAGGATGTGCTCATCTTGCCTTCCCCTTGCCTCAGTTGCTCTAGCTTGTCTTCTCCTTTTGTCTCCATCTTCCCAGGAAAGTCTTAGCCATATCTTTTTTTCTGAAGTATCCATTGTGTTGTCAGTCTTTACAAATTAGTTTTTATAACACATGATAATTAAATAAGGTTTAATTATCTACAACATTCTCATGATGGTCATCCAGCTGCAGGGGTACAAAACTTGCAACTTCACCAAATACCACGTTACATCCTTGGACAGCTCTGAGAGTTAGCGTACCTCCTGTCATTGAGAGTTGATCTGCTTCCCGACACGAGCAAGTTGAAACTCTCCTCCGAAGACGGGCCTTTAGATCTCAGAAAACTTTGGTCTTGCTCCTCCAGGGTCTTCTCCTTTGTGGGCCAAAAGTCCAAGGCTCTTCAGCTGTTGCTCATAAACATAATAGATCAGTTGGGTACTTTTGTCTGTATAATGAAGACCTAATTCAAAGTGGCTCAAACAATAGAGGAATTATTATTATTGTCTTACACGATAAGGAGTCCAGAAGTTGGATAGTCAGCTGGTTCCAGGATTGGGGGTTCAGTGGCTCAGTGAGACCATGAGGCCCATTTTCTCCTCAGCTTTCTGCTTTGCCACCCATGAAGGTGGCTTTTGCCCTGGCCCTCTCTTCCTACCCATCCACAGCTGTGTCCCACATTGGTATCTGGAGTTTGTGGAGGCTCACCCTTTCAATCCTCTAAATATTTGTGGCCTATGACCAGTGGAGGGTAAACATGCTGACCTCATGGCCTAGAGAAGGCTCTTGACAGTAAGGCTGTAAGTCACAAAGGCGGGCATTTCTGCTGAAGGTCAGTTTTACTGGACCTGGTCTTTGGCATCATCAGTGGCTTGGGCCCAAGATGGTGGACAAGTCAGCAAGGTGTGTGTGTGGGGGGGGGGGGGGGGCTTGAGGGGGACGCACCGCCATGGCCCATGGTCCATCTTTATTTTGAAGTTGAGTAATCTTCGAGTGGCCTCTTTTAGCTGTAGTTGCCTTGGTGGGATGTGTGTGTGCGCGCGGGGAGGGGAGAGGTAGAATGCTTGGGCACAGATTTGTGATCAGGATGGAGTTCTGAGGCACCAATCCTTGAATGGCATTCTCTTATGAAATCCCTAGGCCTCACTCATCCCAAACACAGTTTTTACAGAACCCAGAAAGACCCCAAATGAAAATGGGTGCAAGATAGTTATGGCCCATCTTTATTTGGAATCAGACAAGCAGCAGCCACTGCACCCTCTGGCCAGCCTGCTGATGGGTGTCACTTGGCATTGCCTTCTTTTAGCCCCTGTAACTCCCCCCCTCCCCACTGAGCAGCAGGCTTTGTTTAAACGCCTCTCCTGTCCCCAGGGGAGCTTGGAGGACCCAGCGCAGGGTCCAGGGAACGATGCCCCGATGGAAGCATCTGCTTTTGGTGGGAGGAAATGGATGGACAGGACGACTGTGTGTAGCTGTCTTTCCCAGAGAAGCCCGAGCAGATAATAAAGCCATGTAGAAAATAGGATTAAGGTAATGAACAGGCAGGACAGAGTTTGATCTTTCAATAACACCAAAGCCTGACTGACAGGCCAATCTGGAAGGTGGAGCAACCTCGCCGGCAGGACTCAGTGGCGGGGCGGTGTGCGGTGCGGGGTGGATTCTTTTGCTTTTAACCTGTCAGTGCTGAAACTTGAGGAGCACTGGGATTTCCTTTTATGTGTGCACTGACTTGGGGGGAGGAGTATGGAGGGCAGTTTTGCTCTGAGCATCACCCCTCCGGGGGCTGCCCTCAGGATGGTGGTCTGGGACATAGCTTGGAAGTGTAGGCGCCCGCGACGACCAGTGCTTCCTCAGGCAGCCTAGGCTACTTACAAGGCTTGGGGACCCTTTCAAAGTCACGTGACTCCCTCGGCCCTTCATTCCATCAGGACTCCTGGAGACTGTTCTCCCCAGGGGCTAGGAAAGGGGAAGTCCTGGCTGGAGTACACAGGTCAGACAAAGGGCAGCTGTGAAACACAGCCATTGCCTAGATGTCAAGGAACTTGGTGTTCCCCTTCCCTTCCTCTCTCCTGGAGCTGGGGACCCTGGACTGGGCCCAAGACTAAGATTTCTTAACTTGTCTGAACCAGGCAGAGAGAACGATGGAGTCCTTATCCAAACTGCTCCTGAGGGTAGATGGCCATCAGGCCCTGTCCCCAGCCCTCAGGAACTCCATCCTGACAGTGCGAACAGCTAACCACTAAAGGTCCTTAGCTAGGCCCTGGGGTCCCATTAAGCTCCAAGGTACTGTGCCAGAGCCATCCTGCTCCTCAGCCTGAGGTCTAGAGGAATCAGACATTGAGGGAGGCCAATGCCGAGGCCCAGGGAAGGTGTCATCTTTGTGGGAACTCCCTCCCACCTGGTGGAAAACGGGGGTGGGAGTATCTGACCTGCCTGATAACATACACACCCCTCTCCCCGGGCTTGTTCTTGCTGTGGGTCATACTTTTCTGCCAAAGGGCATCTGAGCTAGATCTAGCGTTGGTGCCCTGAGAGCAGGGCACAGTGGTCACCCTGGTGGTGGTGGGCAGCCAGGCAACCGGATGCAGTGGTCCCAGAGCTGGAGGTGTCGTAGTGGGCCCCCATAGCTCTCAGCCAGCCCGGGACTGTGAGGAGGGAAGGGTGGACTTGGTCACCTGGCGACTACCCTATGGCATTGAGGGTCGGAGTCCTTGGCTAGACACTGTGCTGCCGTGTCCATGACCATAAGCGTGACCCCTGCACTCATCCTCATCTCTTCCGGCCAGGGTCATCCCCAGCCCCCATCACTCCTCTTTCCTTCCTGAAGCCCCCAAGTCTCCTTTCTCGATGGAGGCTGGGCAGACAGGCTTCTCACGTCTGTCAGGGACCCTCGGGGCCTTTGCTCCATCTGACACTGGTGCCTGGATTAACCCTTCTCTGCCTCCTGAAACCCTGCTCACACCTCGGCATGAACAGCACCTCCACCGTAAAGCCCACCCTGATCCTAACCCTGTGTCTAGTTGGTGACTCTCAGAACACTCACAGGGCCCACCTGGTCAGCCACCGCGTGGCCTGTGGTAAAGCCCCTTCAGGCGGGGACTTTATCCTGGGACCTCGCACCTCGCACAGGAGCTGAATTTCGAGGCATCCCTGGAGTTTGGATGGCAAGGGCGCCCGGCTGCAGCCTATCTCACCGTGTGAAGGAGGAACTAGTGTCCTGAGTGCAGGCTGGGCTGCTCCGAGGGCACATGAGTGCCCATCCTGGCCAGGTGTGGCTTTGTCTGCCCCAGGCCCTCCGCCTCCACCCAGGCAGGGGGCCTGGCCTCCGTCAGGCTGATTATGGGAATTGCCCCTCTTTAAAGTACCTGCTTCTCCTTTGAAAGTATTACTGACAGCTTTTTTCATTTTCTTTTTTCTTTACCTCTTTAAGGAACCCTGTAATTTCTTTTTCTTTCTTTCTTTCTATGCCACACCCCCCCACCCCTTTCCTTTTTCTTTCTTGTCCCCTCTGTCCTCCTGAACTCTTTGAAATTGGCTCTCTGCCTACTGACACCAAACTGATACTTTGCGTTTCACTTCTCCTTATCCCTTTATGGCAACAGATGTTGAAATTTTGTATCCTTTTATCTGCCCGCTGCCCCTTCCTGTAATTACGGTCCCCTTGTTAGCAGTACAAAGTGGACTGCCTGGCCTTTGAGCCATTGTGTCTGAACACGTGTGCATGGGTGGGTGCTGGGGGCCCTGCACGCGTACACACATGCATGTGAGAGACTGTGTGCTTGGCAGGGACCCTCCTCTCACCTGGTAGGGCTGGGGCAGACGAAGCTTTCGTGGGCTTCTCATCTCTACCACTTTGTGGGACCTGTGCCTCCTTGCTTCTCTTGCTCTCCCACCAGAGGGCTGGACTGGGACAGCCACTCCCTGCTTAAAAGCCTTGCAGCTCCCTGCCACCCCTGGCGTGCATGGCAGCTGAGCAGTCTGCCCACCATGGCCTGGGAACCAGGTCATACCAACTTGCCCCCCTCACAGACCCAAGCCTCTAACTAAACCAGATTGCCAACCAGGTGTCCCGCTCTGCACTTTTGTTGTTGCTGATCTTCACCTTGGCCATCCCCTCCTCTTTCTTTGCTTGTCACTCACTTAAGAATTATTGCTCAGTACTCACAGCCAACAAAGTCCTCTTATCTGCGCCTATAAAACTTTCATCTCTTTCTGGTGCCTACCAGGTCACACCTTATACTGGTAGTTGGATACAAAACAGACTTCTCTTCCTCAACTTCGCATCTCCCAGAAGGTGCTCAGTAAATGGTTGTTGGTCAAGGAAGGGAAAAGAGGAAGGAAGGAAGGGAGGAGAAACCTCCCACTTTCTTAGCTGCCATGTTGGGCCCAGTTTATATCTGTAGGCCATCTATCTCCTGGGAATAGAAGATTCATAGGAAGGTGAACTGTTTGTCTCCCTCCATTCATTCCTCCACCAGAAGCCATTGTTGCATTGGTGGTAGCACATGCAAGATGGCGTGTCCTCACCCCCAATAGATTCAGGAATGAGCACCCATAGGATCTCCAGGGCACATCACCAGAAACCGTACATTAATAGTGGCTGTAAAATGGTGTGTGAGGCACAGGCTTCCTTAGATGTGGGTGGGCAGGTGGGAGCCAGGGGTATTTCAGGGCCATTTAGCACAGGGGGACATTCACAGGGAGCCATGGCTATGGTGGAGCTCGGGCCGACCACGCAGGGGAAGTGTCCAGGCTGGGATGGGAGGACTCGGGAGAGAGGAAAGAAGAGAGGGGAGCCAGGGTACCAGGCTTCCTGGCTCTTCAGGGCCCAGACTGAGGGTGGTGGGGTGTTTCGGCTAGAGCCTGCCCTACCAACTCTAGCCTGGTGCTCAGGGCCCCTCCCAGGTCAGGCACCGGGATATTCAGGGCTAGCACTTGCCTTCTGTTATTTTCCCCATAAAGATGGTCATGGGGTGGGGTGGGGGGGGGATCAGTGTCTTATTTACATTTTTCTCCTCCCTATAAAGTTCCTTTCTTTCTTCCCACTTTCTCCAGCAGCAGTGGAATTGCCTGGGCAGCAGGCTGGGTTGGGCCAGGGAGACCTGATTTCCCGCCTCAAGGGTCCCTGGGATGAGGCCCCACATAGCCAGGCTGCGGACACATTTCCTTCGGGCTGTCCTCCCTGCCTGGTCGCATTCATCAGGATCACAGGGGCGGGGGCCCCATCTGTCTTTATCTGTCCCTGGGTCGAGAGAGAATGGTTGGAGTCATCCTTGGGGGAGGCTGAGTGTGGAGGCCCCTGCAGCCCTCAGCGGCTCCTGGCGGCCGGGCTTTGTGCACGGGAGGCGGAGGGAATGGACTTTTTGTCTGGCCTTCTTTCTAAAGTGACAGACCCTGCCCTTGCTCCTGCCTTGGCCCGGGGCTCTGAGCGGAGCCCTGCTCCCACACAAGTTGTGCCACAGCCAAGGCACTGCACCCCTCCCGCCCCCCACGGTGATAGGCCCAGAGGCATTCTTCACATTCTTTCCAAAGAAAGGGGGCGAAACATCTGAATTTGGGGGTCACCATGTTATACAAATTGCAATCTAATCTTTTTTTTTTTTTTACAAAAATACACTTGCAGTAAGAAAAGGAGCTCGGAGGAGGGGCTGACGAGACAAGACAGCTTGCTTTGTCCCCTTTCCCCCAAAGTTTGGGGCTATTGTCAGCCAGTCTCCCTCCTCCGCAGCAGTTAGCTAGAGTTCTCTAGTTAGATTGGTCTGGGCAGGGGCCACCAAGGGCCCACGGTGCCATTTCTGTTTGTTTTCCCAAATCAAACCCCAGCGGGGCTCCTGTGGCACTGCTGGGCTGCTGTTGGAAGAGACTGGCCATGTCCCAGAGCGTGGTGTGTCAGTTTATGCTCTGAACTTAACCTCAGGAGCACTCACAACAGAGCCTGAGGGTGCAGGCCCAGGGACAAGAGAAACTGTATCTTTTTATTGGCCCATTTCACGGGTGTGGCCATTTCAGGGAACTGGAGAAGCCTGCAGCAGAAATAAAACAGCCTCTGGCTGGGCTGGGCTGGGGACTTGTCCTGGCCCCGAGAGGCCCAAGCTCACTCTTGCCCTGTGTCCCCCCCCGCAGGGCAGAGTTGTTTGTTACTGCAGATGTTGTGGATGACACTTCCGGCAGTGGCTCGGATGCTGGGGCAGGACACTCAGTCTGGGTGTGGCCTTTATGTTGTTGACCCTGCCGGGCCATGGATGCCCAGCTCTCCACCCCTTTCAACCCTGGGACCAGAGGTGGGCAGGTAGAGCCATGCTGGGCTTCACACCCCCAACCTAGTGCCTTTCATCTTCTATTTCAAACAGACAAACATGAAATTACTTCCACAGATTAAAGGGGAGAGCTCCTCAGTCATTCCTGAGGCCTCACTAATGGAGGGGCAGGCCCCCAATCTGGAGGAGAGGGAGAACTGTGAGCAAAACAGCCCCTACCGGTGTGCACACATCTGCACGTGTGCCGTGAGAGAGAGGGAGAGACCGCCCAGCCTGGGGGAATCGGGGCTAGTGACCCCGCTGGGAAGACAAGGGCTTCCTGGGAGCCCAGGTTGGTGATCTCTAGGCAACGCTGATCTGGAGAGAGGGCTTTCTGCCCAATCCTTCTCAGGATTCTCCCGACATCCCTCTCCCGACACAGGCTTCTGTTACTTCCCGGGAAGGAGGCCGGGGGACAGGGTGCTGACATAGGGCCTAGCCCCCCACCAGACAGCACAGTGTACCTTGCTGGGGGTCACGCCTCTGTCCAGTGCTCCAGGGGAAAGGCAAAGTGGGCAGAGGAGCCCACAGCCTCCTCCTCTCCTCCTTCAGCCTTCAGGGAAGATGGTGGCTCCGGTGGGGAGAAGGGATGGAGAGGGGCAGCATCTGTGTGAGGTGGAAGGACTAGAGCTGAGGGCCACATGCACACATGTGACTGGCAGCCCCATCAGCCTCAGCCCCTTTGGTTAACACTGTTTGGGCCAAAGCTGGGCTGGCGTGACCACACAGTCCTCCCCACGCCATGTCCAGCTTCTTACCTGTGAGGCCTTGTTCCTCCGTCACACGGAGGAGAGCCCAGCATCTTTTGGTTGAAGCTGAGGAATAGGGTCTGGAGGGTGCCCCTCTTCTCCTTCATTTCCCCCAGTCATTCTGCAAACTCATTGCTCCTACCCGTCCCCTAGCCATAGGGATTAGCGGGTGCACTTGATGTTGAGGGGTAGTTGCTAGGGCCAGGAGGCCCCCCTACATGGTTGCTAGGGGTCTGGCATCAGGCGAAGGGTCTGCCCACTGCCGCGGTCACGGAGGGAATTACACAGTCACAAAGAAATGGTTCTTCTCAGTAATCTGCTCTTGGCCACCGGGAGGGGCGAGGCTGGGGGGGGCAAGCTGGAGCCCAGCAGGCTGGGGGCTGTGATCACAGAGGCGTGCTCGCCCGGGCTGGGGGCCAGCCTGGCCAGGAACACCAGGGACCAGCCTGCTAAGCTGCTTTCTCAGCGATTTCTCTCCCCAGACACAAAGGTGTTTACTTGTTTTAACTTCTCCTGGGACTCCCCTTCTCCCTTTGTGTGGTCTTTATCCCCAATGAGGTTTGAGCCCCAGATTACAGGCGGGAATTAAGGCATTGGACTCAGGCAGCTCAGAACTGCATGACCTGCAGGATCAAGGAGTATAAAGTAACGGTGTGTGTGTGTGTGTGTGTGTGTGTGTGTGTGTGTGTGTGTGTGTATGTGGTGAGGGGCAACCCCTTCAGCAAGGCCCATTCATCCTCCGGAGGAGGAGAGGCTGGGTGGCGGGTGGTCAGTGTGCAGGTGTGATGGAGGGGCTGATGGTGATTGATTGAGGCCTTTAGCTGGGGGGAGGCTTGGGGTGGGAGGAGAGGGAGTCTAACTCTAGCTCAGGAAGGGGAGCTGCATTTCCTTAGGGACTGAAGCCATTTGGAGGCTCAAAAACTCTGTGTGGCCCAGGTGGGCTAGTGGCTCATCCTCTGCCCCCTCTCTCCCCAGTGGGCAGTTGATGACACACCTGGGCAGTGACTTTCCCCCAGGGGCTGGGGTACTGGACCTCATGTATGAGTCCCCTTTCACGCTCCTGACCTGTGGCTATGACACCTACATTCGATACTGGGACCTCCGAGCCAGTGTCAGGTGAGTGTGTTGGGCAGGAGGACAAGTGGTGAGAGATCCTGTGCCAGTCTCGGTGGGAGGAAGTACAGACTCCATGTCAGGAACCGGTAAGGAGCAGCTGGCAAGGTCAGACCAAGCTTGGACTCCCACCTTGGGCAGTTTTGGCCCGAGGCCTAGGAGACTGTAGCCACGAGGACCTGATCAGAGCCTTGGGAGCTGTGAGGGTGCCATCCCTCAGCACTCTGTCCCAGCCTTTCTCCCTCTCTTTCTAAGGCCTGACAGGTCCTGTGACACACAGTCAGCCACGTGAAACACAAGTGAGGACATAAGCTGCCCTGGGGTCTGGAGTTTGATGAGAAAGAGACCTTTCCTGAGGCTTCCCCCCAGTAAGGCTGCTTTTTAAAGAACGTGGCGATGCAGCCTCTCTCCCCCAGCTAGCTTGGGGAAGTGGGGTTGGAGGGTGGGCATCCTGAAGCTCCCCTGTATCCCTCTTCCTGGACAGGAAGTGTGTCATGGAGTGGGAGGAGCCCCACGACAGCACCCTGTACTGCTTGCAGACGGATGGGAACCACTTGCTGGCCACAGGTTCCTCCTACTACGGGGTTGTACGCCTGTGGGACCGGCGCCAGAGAGCCTGCCTACACGTAAGCATCCTGCCTACCTCATGCACGCCTCCCGGACCAGGACTCATGTTTATGGGCTGCCCCTGAGAGTGGGTGCCTGGAGAGGTGGAGTAAGCCCACAGTGCACCTGGCCTATTGCACTCGGGCCACTCTTGTCATTCTTGTGCCCTCCCTTGCAGGCCTTCCCGCTGACGTCAACACCCCTGAGCAGCCCGGTGTACTGCCTGCGCTTCACCACCAAGCATCTCTATGCGGCGCTGTCTTACAACCTTCATGTCCTGGACTTTCAAAACCCGTGACAGGCAGGGCCACCCCGCTGTGGGCCAGGGAAGCCAGCTACTCAGGGACCTCTCTTGCTTGGAGGGTGCAGTGATAATGCTCCCCACCCGTGCCTGTGCTCCCAGACCTGCAACCACAGTGCTTGAGCACTTAAGCCAAAGGATGCTGACTCCTGGGACCCTGGGGTTACCCAGAGACACAGTCCTTCCCAAGAACCAGTTGGAGAGAAGAGACTTGCTGCTTTGGGAGAGTGAAGCTGAACCCACAGGGTCTTGCTTTCCTGTCGGCCAGAGAAGGATCTGGCCTGGAGAGGCACCCCGCCCGCACCTCACCCCTTCATAGAGCCATGATAGCTTCAGTGAGGTGAGGTGCTCCAGCCTTCCCAGCGGTCCCTCTGCCCTTTCCCTGGAAGGAGGTTGTGGCTGCCAGTACCCCTGCTGGCACGGCCACCGCCACCTCAGTCAGAGCCCACCTTTGGCCAAGCTGTTGGGGCTGGGGACTCATTCCTGGGGCACTGGGGCCTGGTCTCCCTTTGAAACTGGGAAAGGATAAAGGGAACCCAGCAGTTTAGAGAGATCCCTTAGCCTGCCCAGCTTCAAGCCATCTGTTGAGCCATGCTACAGTATTCATTTTTGTAAAAATAAAGCTTAATTGTTCAAAGATCTGGTTCCTGACTTGCTGGGGAGGCCCAAAGGAGAGGGGACAACAGATTCAATGTGGGGATGTCCATGCTGGGAAGGTAAGACCAGCCTCAGGGCTCACTGTTGCAAAGAACAGAGGTTTCCTTTTTCTTTTTTTTCCCAGGAAACCCTCTCATTGACCACCCACCCATTGGCCGTGGAAGGTCCCTGGGTAGAGAAGGGAGTGTCGCCACCAGCAGCTTCTCTGGGAGTAGGAGCAGACAGAAGTGGACAAGAGGGCAATCTTCCCACAGTGACTCAGAACTTTACTCAGGAGAGAAGACCGTGACGCAGGGGCCAGTTCTTACAGAGCCTGTAGCGCTCCAGAGCAGAAGAGGCTGCCCTGTGCCAGGAAGGCCGGGCTGTGAGTCTTGCAGGTGACAGAGGAGCTCACTCACCCTCCATGCTGGAGGGGCAGGTTCGGGTCCACTACTGGGTCTTACAGTCCCCATCACTGTGGGCCATCTTTACCTTCTTCAGCTCCTTCTGCAGCTCTGACTCGGCCTCCAGGACTCCCTTTGGCTTCTGGTACTGTAGATGGGGCCAGAAAGGACATAATACAGTCACATTCAGTCAGGCCTCTCCCCCCCCCCCCCCACTTCACACACACAATCACACACACACTCAGGACCCCTTCTGATCTCTTTGTTCAAAGATGAGGAAACAGGCCTACAGGGTTGAATGATTTGCTCAAGGTCACATGGCTAAGTAGGAGCAGGCCTTGAACCAGAACCCTAGTCTGTGATTTCCATCCCTCCCATCACCCTCTATCCTCTTCTAGCTGCCAGACTCCTCCCTGAGCCCCCACCCTGCTCTCCCCATGCTGAAACAGAGATCCTGTTCCGTAGGAAGTACACCCCACAGGTTAAGTCTAGAACTGGGGACTCCTCTGGAATGGGAAGTGGGCAAGGAAAGAGGGAAGCTCTCCCGGACACAGTGACTGAGACGTCTGGGTGAATCTTACGGAGATGATCAGGGTGCAGTTGGCATAAGCAAAGCTCAGCAAAGAATCATCCAGCGGTAGCTGGTATCTGTCCAGATCAGTAATGGAGAACTTCTTGTAGTACCTGTGGGGACAAAAAGAGGTCATGGGTACACCCAACAAGATGTGGTATCAGGCATGTGGCATCAGGCCCTGTACTGCTAAGCTTCTACATCGTCCTCTCACACTTCCAACAGCCAGAGAGGAGAAGCCAGTTGGAACACCAGTGTTTTGGAGCTTATCGGCCTTGGGAAGAAAAGAACGAAAGGCCCTATGGCCAGTCCAGCAGAAGAGCAGAACTGGTCATGATTCCTTCACTAACCAGGGATCAGTGACTCACACTTCAGGTTTAGAACTACCAAGACAAATGTGCAGATGGCTCGAGCAAGCCAGCCCTCCTCTGAATCCCAAAAGATGGACCGTGCATGCTAACCAGGGATAGAATAAAGACATCTAGGGCCATCTCCCGAAGCTGGGGGTGACAGTTGCTGTTTACATGCAACTTCCAGTGAAGATCTCAGCTACCTTTTCCTTCGTTGGCCTCCTACAGCCTTACTAGCTGACTCTCCTTGTAGGCCAGAGAGGGAAGGACATCACAGGAGAAAGCCCCCTGACAGGCCAAACCATGGAGCTATCAGGGAAGCTGTCTCTGCGGCTCTGGACTACTTTGCTGGCACAGGTCAGGATTGACGGTCCTTCTCCTGGCCTGGTGCTTATCACACCAGAGCACAAAGAATGGCCTACTCACTTCTAGCAATAGGCCCTTTTGGCATTTTCCTTGGAAGTGTAGCTAGGCTCTCATCGGTGGCTGCCAGACCTGTCACCCAGGCACAGCATCACAGCTGCTGCCAGGATGTGTGGGTTGGGAAGGGAAACGCTGCAGGCAGGTACAAACACTCAAGTGAGGGGCCTGGGGAGGATGGGGCTTTTAATACTTCAGAGGAGCCTGGTCCTTGTGGTGACAGCTACCTTGAGTCCACTTCAAAAGCCCTGATGCCCTGGGGACTCAGCGAGTTGACATCAATGTAGCACTTCTGCCCCACTCTCCCTGCCCAAATCCCTTAGTTTAGCAGCGGCTCTTCAGGGCCCCTCTCCTCCCAGGTTCCCGCTCCCCACCAAGGTGCTGGGACCCATGCAGGAAAAGATTGTTTACTTAAAGGCTGACAGTTCAAAAGGAGTGGGGGCTGGGAGGGCCTAATGGCACCATAGGCTTGCTTTATTTTCCAAAGCTCTGCCCCAGGGAAAGGTGATCCATCTGCCTGCGAACTGGAGTGGAATGCCGGCCTCATCCTCTTCCTAGCCGGCCCAGGCTGAGGCCTTTTCCTGGGGCCCTCGGTCTGGCCAGCAAAGGTGGCAGACACTGATAATAGGGGGGAGTCAAAGGTTAAACAGCAAAGATTAGATGAACACAAAGGCTTGTTAGGAAGTGTTAACATCTTACTTGCAAATATACACAGAAACAGAACTGGGTGAGAAGCAGCTCAGGCACATGCAGCCCAGCCGAACCCAGGGCTTGTGCAAGGCTTTGCCCTGCAGACCAGCACTGGGACATCCTTTCTGCGGACCTGCCTGATGGGACAGGGACACTCCTGTGCGTCCTCAGAGCGGCACTCAAGCTACCTTCCCCAGGCGGGGCGATGGGGCCAGGAAAAATCCCGGAGCTTGGCTTATGGCAATGGCAACAAGATCTAAGGGAGCTGGAGGTGGGTGGCTTGCCACCTCCTCTGTCCTGTACCCACCATCTCTTACACGATTAGGGGAATGGAAGCAGTGGGTCTGGAAACAGCTTTGTTTTGAGTCTGTTCTAAAGGGTTTAGTTTATTAGTTGAAGTTAAATTTTTTTCCTTAGAAGCTCCTGACGGTCAGTGTTCAAGGGAGTATGGGGCATCTCTCCTCAAGGAGCAGCCCCCAGCCCATTCCCTGACCTTGGCTTTGCCGTAAGAGGAACAGCATTTGACTTTCTCACCAGCACCGGGACTAGAGAGAGGCCAGAGACCACTGTACTTCCGCAGAAGCCACAATCCTTGGACTCGGGCAGCAAACATTTCTTAGGCATCGGCTGTGTCCCAGGCCCTCAGCTGTGAGCCTCCGGATTTTAAGATGAAGAAACAAGGCCGTGCGCTGCCTGGAGACCAGGCTGCATTTCTGTTAAAGTCAAACTCAATAGCAGGTGGCTCCTGGGCTTTCTGAGATGCCCCAACATTCCTCCCCATTTTCATCTCCCTTCTTTGTTCTCAGGCTCAGCCACACACACAGGTGACATTTATTAATACTCAAACTGTGCCAGGCACTGTGCTACACATTGATTCCTCAAAACAACCTTCTTAGGTTTGTGACTATCTCTACACTCCGCCCTTACAGAAGAGGAAACCGAGGTACATGAAAGCTAGGTTTCTTGCCCAAGACACAAAACCGGTAGGTACATGGAGACCATCTAAGAACAAGTGATAGTCCCCCAAGTCTGACCCTCCATCTTTCTACATTCCCACTTCCAAGTAACGGACCTGGTCCAAGTTCCCTGCACCTGTCCAAGGAGGGGGCAGATATGGGAAGGGGGCTGCCCAGGGGTCCAGCCACCTGCAGGTCTCCGCAGCACTCTGACACACAGTGGTTTTTCTTTGAGTCTCAGAGATGTTCAAAAGACAGGTGGGAGCAAGGGCTCTCAGGCAGGCCATTTAGCCTTGAGCCTCAGCTTCTTCCTTCCAAATAAAGGAGCTGTCCTAGATAAATTTGAAGTCTGCTGGTGCCAGTCCAACAGGCTGGAATGGGCCAACTTTCTTCATGTGTATCCAAAGGACAGCTCCTGGCCATTTGTACATTTCAGAGATGCCCTACCACACCCATCACTCCCTTCCCACTGTATCACCTCCCCCAGTCCCAGTCTTTTCCCAACTCATTCTCTCCCTTGCAGTGAACTGAGAAAGGGCACAGGCCAGGTCTTCAGAGACAGACACTGGAGGACAGGGCCACTGTGGACAGTCATATGGGCCACACCTCTGGGAGGCACCCTGCACAACTGCAAGCAGGGCTGGAGAATAGTCAAGAGAAGTCTCCAGTCAGTCCAGTCCTTAGAAAATCTTTCTTTCTTAAACATCAAGGCTCTGGGCAAACTGTTCAGTAGCCCCTCCTAGAGAGTCACAATACACATTCACATACTAAAGGCTCTCAAAAATCCTACCGAAGAAAAGGTGGTTTATTCCAGAGTTTCCTAAACTTATGTGAGCACAGAATCCTTTTTCTAGCAATGTCTATTAACACTTCCTCCAGTGTTAGTATCACTGATGTCAAATCAGTCAAACTCCCTTCACATTGGAATTTCCAAAGGACTGCTGAGGACCTGCTTAAGACTGGCCATTTGTACATACACATTTTCATCAAAATTTCTAATCTGTGAGGTAGGCATAAGTATTCACCTGTGATGGATGAGAAAACCTTGCCAAATACTATAACTGATATATGGCAGAGGCCAGATTTAACCTGCCATCCTCCTAGCACCCTGGCTCATTCCACTTACAGCTGCCAGCTTCTAGGCTAAGGCTAAGAACCTTCTTTCTGCACAGACTCCCTTCCCAGGAACAGACAGTGCTGCACTGGGGCCTGGAAAGGCACTCCCCACACCAACACCTGGCCAAGGACATGATACACTGGAATCTATTCCTTCAAGTAGCCAGCCCAGTTCTTCTGGGACAAGGCAGGTATGGACAAAGGAGCCCTGGGCTTCATCAGTGACCACATTCCAGAATATGAGAACTGAGGCAGGCACAGACTCTCCCAGAGAGGGATGCCACAGTGTAGTAGAAACGGCAGGTGCCTAGACACTGAGACCGTGCCTAAATTTACCTTCTGGCAAGTCAGTCCATCAAGCTGATTTTGCAGATACACTTACATAATTGTTAATATATAATACAAGAATAAAAATATGTACCCTGCCAACATCCAGGCGATCAGATAATCAGAGAACAGATTTTAAAAAGTATTCTGAGGTTAAACATTGCTCAAAGAAACAGCCATTAAGTTCTGTTTAGTTAGTTGTAAGAAAGGTATAGGATACTTTACTACTCCAGGTAGAAGTTGAAAATGCCACTAAGCTCAGGACTAAGGGTTTAGCGATTCCTCTTGCCTATCTCCCAACAGAGGGACCTGAGGGAGGCTGAGCTGAGCCAGGCTGGGCCACTGGAGCAATGGTTAGTGTTGGCTCCAAACGAGGCACCGACAAACGCATCTTCCCTCCAGTCCCTGGCCCCACCCCTTTGGAGGCACTACACCCATCAGTTAAAAAATGTCCCCCCTTCCTTGAGCCCTGAAGTGGGCCTCTAGCCATGGAGCTCCTGGCCAACAGCGCCACCTATGGCTGCATATGCACAGGAGAGGGGGCCCAGAGGATCTGTCCTCAGATGAATTTTTTGGTGAGCCAGCTAGCCTCTCTTCTCATTCCCTGGTAATCACATTTCTGCCTGATATCTGTATTCGACAGTGACCTCTGGGGGACAAAAGGGAGGCAGCAGCCAGCTCTGCAAACTGCTGGGCTGCAGATTCAAGTGCTATCGGAAGCACTTTTGTTCCCCGGTTGGACCCGAGGCCGCCTGCGCCAGGGAATGCTTGCTGAAGTACGGAGTTTGTTTTCCTAAAGGCAATTTCTCCGCTGTCTGAAATCGCTAAATTCCACTTCAGGCACTGACTCCTGTTAATGATGAGAACAATAACGGGAATAAAGTGCCTTTTGTCTGAGGGCTTCAAAGTGCTTTATAAACGCAAACCCTTATTATTATGACTTTATATTTATAGACAAGGCCCACTGCAGGGGCTACTGGCTGCATGTACAGCAATAATCCTGAAATTAATTCATTCATCTCCACCCCTTCCCTGTCCCCTTAACCTGCCAAAGTGATAGGGTGGGTGTTTGGGGGATCAAAAGAAGTAGGCAAGACCCAGGGCTGCACTGGGGGAGCCCAGGAACCATGCTGCTTCCCTCTGGGCCTGTGGACCCGAGGGATTTGAAAGGGAGGCTGGCACCACATCATCTGAGAAAATGGACAAGATCCAGCCCATGGATCCAGAGGTCAAGGTCACAATAACCTTACAACAGAAGCTCCTAAGATCATAAGTTAATAACCAGGTGATTCCCTCATCTCATTCATTCAGAAAACATTGACTGAGCCCCAGTACATGCCAGGTATTAGACCAGACACTTGTTCAGTTTCCCTGCCGTGACGGAGCTGATTCCATTATTACAGCTGGTCCTGGAGAGAGGAAACCCTTTCGCATTCATTGTCTGCTGGGGTTTTAGTGAAGCCCTCCTCCTTCCCTACCTCTCTCCCTCAGCTGAAGAAAGAGGCTTCTCTGCAGGAGCACGTGAGCGCCCCCCCTCTGTCCCCCCCAGGAAAGGGAGCAGTCTGAGCCCTAACCCAGGTCCAACCCCAGCTCCCCCTGCTCAAACACAGGACTGTCAACCAGGCTGCTTACTTTTTGTTGGTTGTTCTGACAACAACACAGCGCTCCTTCTGGTCCACACAGACACTGTAGACTTCCTTGGGGTAGGGGAGGTTTCGAATCCGCCACTGGAAACACATCTTGGTGTCCTTGCGCATGAAGATGGGCTGCAGAAGGCAAACCCAACTCCTGGACTGTTCCTGAGGGTAGGAAGGGATGCCCCCTCCCCCAAATCTCTGCCTGCAGGCACAGTGGGAGCCCCTCAGGCCCTCTCAGCTCCCTCTGATGCTCCTATCGCTGTGACAGGCCAGGCCTTACGCCCTTGCCCTGGGGTGACCACATCAAAAACCCCTGGGCATTCATTCAGGCAAACACGTCGAGAGCACTGTGCAGGTGGGCACACTGGAGATGAGAGGTGAACAAGCCGTGGTCCCTTTCTTTCAGGGCTGGGCCCACTCCCCACGGACTCCCCCCCAGACACCTGAGAGAGAAACATACATTGGCATTGCTTTCCTTGATGAGTTCAGGCCCCAGGCTCCCTGCTCCGTGGAGTGCTGGCTCTCCCACCTCAATCTGCCACTGGCCCAAGGCTCCCAGGGCACTTTTTACTCGCCACTTTCTTACTGAGGAGAGAAAGAAGCAGTGGAATTATGGGGGAGAAAGAGGCTCTGCTCTTTTTTGCTGAATCATCAGCATCACACTAGGCAGGTGGAACAGGATAAAAGTGGGAGCTACAGGCTCCTTTGCACTGGCTTTTTGAGCAGGGACCTCCCAGACTCTGAAATCTCAGTGGAGCACTTCCACATTAGATAACCTATAAAATTCATATCATGAGTGCCCAGACAAAAGGAACTGGAATATAGCTCTGTAAGAAGCCACATGGAGATAAGAAACCCCAGTTGTGGCTACCAGAAAGGGGAAGATGGGAGGGTTAGGAAAAGGGTTAACTACTGGTAATTGGGAAAATTTGGATCCCAAAATGTGTGAGTTGGCATTGCATTCTTCCTCTCTAAAAATGCGCAAAGAGCCGAGACCGGTTTGGGTCAATGGATAGAGTGTCTGCTTGGGGACTGAAAGGTCCCGGGTTCGATTCTGGTCAGGGGCATGTACCTTGGTTGCGGGCATATCCCCAGTAGGGGGTGTGCAAGAGGCAGCTGATCGATGACTCTCTCTCATCAATGTTTCTAACTCTCTATCTCTCTCCTTTCCTCTCTGTATAAAATCAATAAAATAAAATAAAAATTTCATACAATAAAAAATATATATTAAAAAAAATAAAAAATAAAAATGCGCAAAGGAAAAATGAATTAAGAAGTGAAACTGATAGGCAGATTTGTCTCATGATTCAGAAAATCCAAATGTAGTCCGGACAACGTGGCTCAGTTGAGGGTTAACTTATGAATCACGGTTCGATTCCCAGACAGGCCACATGCCCAAGCTGCGGACTTAATCCCCAGCTGGGGGTGTGCAGGAGGCAGCCGATCAATGCTTCTCTCTCATCATTGATGTTTCCATCTCACTCTCCCTCTCCTTCCCTCTTTGAAATCAGTAAAAACATTTTTTTAAAAAGCAAGTCCAAATGTAGATCTTCATATAGAAGATATAACATGACTTTTGTGTGAAGCAGAATCATCCTTTTACAATGCAAACAGCTATCTCTAATTTACCTTGTTTTACAAGCCAGGTGTTTGCATAAAGCTTTTTTTTTTTTTTCAAGTAAGGAACATATATTATGGAAATTGTTAGTGCAATGGACATTACCTGGAAAGCCCTGCTGGGAACCCACTCAACTGTGTCATCAGGGCTGCGGTCATGGGCATCCCATCTATCCCTGCAGGGGGCCCCTCTGCTCCTTCCCTTCCTGCCGCATTGGGGTGTACTCCAGCCTGGCCAGCAGCCTCCCTAACGCTGTTGTTAGGAGCTCAGCAGCTCAAGAAGGGCCAGGGACTGCGGCAGCTGTTCCAGGGAGCTGCTCTTTCTGGGCGGGGGGACGAGAGCTATAGTCGGATTCTCCAAAGCAGGGCAGCGGTGGGTTTCTCTGAGACTTTGAGCAGCTGTGCCAAACCAAAACACCCTCACTGCTCTAAGTAAGGCACGCAAGCTGCACACAAAAGTGTGCTGTAAAATTAGAATTTCCCCTTGAATATGTGCTTTTACAAGGTCTGCTGCATTCTGCGGTATGATTTTATTATGTCTCAGGGCCAAAAATTCTCCCTAGAAACACATTTCCAAGTTTATAATGAAAATTAATATGGAAGAGTAAAACTTGGAAATATGCTTTATAGGCAATTTTTTTTTCACACAAATACTTCTACTCTTTTAAGTGAATGGACTGTGACCGGGAGTATATCCAAATCTATTCATGTAATACAGAACCTCGCTTAACTGGAAGCCAGCCTCCTGGGGCCTCTGTCACAGTCACAAACTCAGAAGTGACAAATGCCGCCGAGCAGCAGCTCCTTTTACAAGACCTACACACCTCACTCTATTCTGTAGGAAAGATCACTCCTGGATTCTCCCCCAGACTATGTATATAAAATGCTACATGTAGAACAGGGCAGGAAATGAATGGTTTTCCCAGGCACATTGGCAATAGCATGAGGGGACAGCTCACATCAGGGGGCAGTGTCAGAACTACAAAGCACGTGGGACCATTTAGTGTGAGGGCAAAGAAGCACCCTTGGACCCCGAGGGCATCACTACATAATGAAATACAGTCATCGCAGATCTTAAATGGGGAGGTTCCCTCAGAAAGCAGCTCGTCCACTGCCTGTGGCTTTAAAATGAGAAATAGTGTTTCTTCCCTTGCCACCACTCTCCAGGGGACAGAGTATGGGGGATTATCGATGCTCAGAGAGATAAACTAACTTGTAAAGCCAAAGCTAAAATTCAGGTCCCCTAACTCTAAGTCCAGAATTTGAATCATTAATAAAAGGCTAAATTATAGTCTATAAATGTTTAATAAGCTTGTATATTTTAAGACTCCATTTTTTTTTATTATTTTTTTTTAGTATCTCTACTCTTTTTCACACTGTAGCCTCCAAAGGAAAAGCTTTGCTTACTTGAAATATAATTTATGGGGAGTCCCTGGGGCTAGACAGGTGAGGTGCTCCTCTAATCACGGGCCTTGTTAAATCATCTGGCCTAACGCTTGAGAACCTGTGTGGCCAAGAGCCGCAATTCCGACTCCAGGATTCTGCACAGGAGCCTTCCCAAGGAGCACACGAAGGAGAAGGAAAATCAGCTACTCATTTCTTTACTACGGACCTTAAAAGCCACTCAGGTCACAGGAATTTAGCATCTTTGGCTATTTTATCTTTTAACAAAAAATATTGGAATTAAATCCTGTTAGAATGCAGAAGAAAGTCTTCCTACTCATTCCCATATAAGATTCAATAAACGACTGTCCTTATTGTTTTCCCCCACGGACGTGGGCGTGAATGCACGCGTGCACATCCACACTGTCATCCACACGGTCTTTCTCGTCCTGTCTTTGTTCCTGAACTCAAGGACAGCTCCTGCGGCAACAGAAGAGTTTCCACCTGCTGTCACGCTGATTTGATTATATGTTAAACCCAAACTGGTGTGTGCAAGGCTGCTCCTTGGGACGCTGTCAGATCTTCCCGGCTGAGCCAGGGCAGTCCTTGGGAAGGAGACTGTGGACGACCCTGGGAAGGGTCTGACGGGGGATGGATGAAGGAAGCAGCGCCGGGGGCTTTCTCCTAAGTCAGCAGGAAGCAGGCTGACGTCCCAGGCTGCTGGCTGAGAGGAGGCCCATCGTTCAGGTGGGCTGGAGTGTGGAGGTCCTGAAGGCCTCTTTCCCCAGAGCTCCAGCCCTGGCCCGTTTCCAACGTGGATAATTGCATTCTCCCTTCCTAAATGCTCCCCGCAGCTCACACTGGCTGCAGGATTCTTCTTTTCTGCCCTAAAACACTGCAACATTGCTCTGTGGCTATTAAACAGCTGCCACGTCCCGTCCCCGAGGAGGCTGAAGGGAATCGAGTGGGTCATTTATAAAGCTGGTGAAGTGCTTGGGAATGAAAGTGCTCAATATCCTCCCACTGCAGCCTGGGGTGGTTAGGCTGGCGGTCAAATACCAAAGCAGATTAGGCCGGTAATCCGAATGTAATCGTTGGGAGATGGCCTGCCCTTCAGCCTCTGCCCACCCCCTCCCCGAACATGCTGTGCTCTTCTGGGGCTGGTTTGATGTTCCGGTCATTGTGGGGCCCTCCAGGGTTTCCTCTGTGACTACATGCCGCGTTCACGGTGGGGGTAGGAATGGACAGCAGTGACAGGGCAGAAAAAATATGACGCCAACTGGAAGAGCTCTGTCCTAGACGGGTGCACCACTGGCAAGTCTTCCTCTGCAAATTCCTTTCTGGGTTTTTCTAGCAGAAAACCACTTTGGCCAATTATCAAATGTATACAATTAGCTTGAAAAATGGAAACTGCTGCCATTTATGGCCACAAAAACCCTGTCCATATTCTACTTCATAGAATGCACAAGTAAAAGTCAGCTCAGACCCTGGGAGCATTTATATTTAAAAGTTAATAATGAGCCCCCTGGTTTGGCTCAGTGGGTAGAGCATCCATCGGCCTGCAGACTGAAGGGTCCCGGGTTTGATTCTGGCCAAGGGCACATGCTGGTTTGCAAGCTCGATCCCCAGTAGGGGGCGTGCAGGAGACAGCCTATCAACGATTCTCTGTCATCACTGATGTTTCTTTCTCTCTCTCTCTCTCCCTTCCTCTCTGAAATCAATAAAAATATATATATTTTTTTTAAAGTTAATAATGAACAGTATTTTGCAAGGGCAGCGGGTGGGGGTGGGGGTGAGGGTGGGGGAAGTTAGAGATGGGTAAGAAAAGGACCAGCTGCTCATAGAGCCCAGTGGTTCTCTCTGCCCATCTCTGTCCTGCTCCCACCAGCCCCTCCTCGGGTTATTCTGAGGAAGCAAAATTTAGTAAGAAGAAAACAAAACAGAATGAAATATTCTCACTCCCAACAGGATGTTGTTGAGAACTAAAGCATTGGCTCTTAATCAGACAGACCTCATTTAAATCCTAGCTCAGAAGCTAACCAGTTACATGATTCTCAACAAGGTGCTTAACCTCTTACAAGTCCCCACCCCCTTTCTAACTGTATGATGAGGACAACAGGACCTCCTTCGGTGGCTGTAACGGGGATGGCTGCATGAGATAATTCACACAAAGCACTTAGCGTGGTACCAATAACAGCTATGGGATTAATGTCATTATTAGGTAAACTTTAGCCAAACAATGTTCTCTGATGAACCTCCATTTCTGCTTTTAAGAAAAAGGAATTTGGGGGACTCTGTCTATCCTCTACTTTCCAAGAGAAGTGACAGGTTAATGTGGGATGCTAGTAATGAAAAAACCTAGACTTTTTTCTTTTTTTTTTTCATTTTAAGCACAACTAAAAGGCCTGGGTTTTGTTTGTTAGTTTGTTTTTACAGCAGCTGTAGCTGTTTGATTTGCACTGTATGGAGAAGAGAGGTGCCGCTGGGGGTCAGGGGAGAGGAGCTGGAACTAGTCTCTAGCCTGGTGATGGTGGTGGTTAGCCCACGTGAGCTCTGCTTTCATAAGCTCGCCTCTGTTAGGCATTCCAAGGCTGTCACCCCCGGGGAGTGCTATAAATTACAATGCATTGTGAGGATATTACTACTGTATTGGTTTCCACCAAATCAGTGTCATATGCTAAACACATCAAGATTTTTAATAGCACCAGACTAAACCAATTGGGACTAGAGCCCAAGCAGCTCATAATAAGGAGGGATCAACACTTCACTCTGTGACTGAACATGCGCAGGACACACATTTTCAGACTGGAGACTAAGAGAATGCAAACCAGTGTAATCTGTATTGTCGGTTCTGGACATTTATGAGCTGTCAGAAAAAGGGAAAAAGAAATTCCCTCACCAATACTACCTGTCGATCAGTCCCAGGAAGAAATTAAAGTCAAGAATAATGACAAGAAAATAGCCCAGTTCATGATTCCATCATTGGTCTTAGCATTTCAGGTAGAACTTAATAAAGAGACTAACTCCCAATGCTGACAGCCGCAGGCCCTGGGTCAAAGAACCAGCCACCTCGCTCTGGGAAGTGAGTTAATGCTGATGTATAGACCTGGGAACAGCGAATGGACAAATCAAATAATTCCCAGAAATCCAAGCTGGAGCCTCTATTCATGAGCCTATTCTTAAAGGAAAAGAGCTACAGAAACACAAGGTACAATGCTCCAAATTACCATTTTTACCCCCTACTTCCTTTGATTCATTCTCCAAGGTAACTGTCATATTTAATAGAGCTAACTCCGAGGCAAAGTCAGAAGCTGCTGCCTCTGATATTTGCTTGTTTATAGTGTGGCTTCAAAAAACAAGAAAAAAAAAAACACCAACAAACAAAAACACACCAAAAAATGTAGTGACAAACACTATTCGGCCTACAAGGTTTGCCTCCAGTTTCACCTTTTCTAAAGTTTTTCCCAACAGATTCTCCACATCCCTGTTCTCACCTGAGAAAAACCACTCACGCTTTCATTTGTTTTGGGCTGAAGGGTCAAACGAACTCCCACTCCACCTCCGGAGCCCAGCCCCGGCCTCAGATTACCCTCAGGAACGGCGCTGCTTCAGAGGCCTGTCTCCCTGGCTTCCCCATGTGGTGCAGGGCCCCCCCTCAGCCCCAGGCGAGGTGTGTGCGGGGATCATCCCAAGTGTCCCTATGGGCCCGCTGGGAGACCCTGCCACTTACCAAGCAGTTCACTTGTCTTCTCGTCATATTCTTCGGCCATTTCCTTCCCGTCTGGGAACAAATAGTGCACCTTCCTTCTCCCTAAGCACAAAGCAGAGCGTGCCTTACTCCCTAGCCTCCTCTGGCCTTGTCCCTGGGAAGCACCAACAGCCCTGGGCTTAGTGAGAAGCCCCCGCCCCAGGGCCTCTCACTCGCTGCCAAGCATCAGCCATCATTACTCTGAGGCATGTCCTGGGACTCTTCCTTCTTGAAGATTTCTGTCAATGTATCTTTGATCCTCTGTTTCCTCTACCAGCAATAGCTCCATCTGTTAAGCTTCTCCTTGATCTTCAAAACCCAGCTCAAATATCACATCCACCGGGAAGTCTTCCTAAACGATCACCCCGGCCACCTTGGCAAAATCTGCTTCCTTGTATGTGCCTGTATAATGCTTTATTTATATCCATAGAGGAGAATATGCATAGGGTATGATAGGTTTAAAAGTATCTATCTCCCCAGGAATGATATCATATTTTTCTTTCTCTCCCCAGTCTCTAAAACCAAGCTTATATTCTCGGGACATTAAGCGGGCTTCCCACTAAGTACTCCCTCTAACCATGCCGTCATTGTGCCTTCTTTTGCACACCGGTAGGCCATTCCTATCACACAGCCACACAATGTTAGTCCCATGTGTTTCCTTTTTACAAAAACACACTTTGAAATAAAAATACTTTAACCAAAATAAATAAATAAATAAATAAATAAATAAATAAATAAATAAAATAAAAAATGCTGAAATCTTTAGTAAATCATTATTTTGTAAGAATAAAATAGATAAAAACCTAAAAAAAAAAAATACACACACTTTGATTTCAAAGAGGAAAGGACAGGGAGAGAAAGATCGAAACATCAATGATGAGAGAGAATCATTGATCCGATGCCTCCTGCATGTCCTCTACTGAAGATTGATCCTACAACCCAGGCATGTGCCCTTGAATGGAATCAAACCAGGGACCCTTCAGTCTGCAGGCCGATGCTCTATCCACTGAGCCAAACAAGCTAGGGCCCATGTGTTTTCTTTTTTTTTTTTTTTTCTTTTTTCCTTTAACTATATTTTATTGATTTTTTTTTACAGAGAGGAGGAGAGCGGGATAGAGAGCTAGAAATGTTGATAAGAGAGAAACATTGACCAGCTACCTCTTGCACACCCCCTACTGGGGATGTGCCCGAAACCAATGTAAATGCCCTTGACCGGAATCGAACCTGGGACCTTTCAGTCCGCAGACCGAGACCGACGCTTTATCCACTGAGCCAAACCGGTTTGGCCCATGTGTTTTCTTCATAGCATTTACCTTAGTTATGATTTTACATGTGAATGTGTCTTCTGTGTCTTCTACTAGATAAAATGGGTCTATCCCCCAGCTTATGGCTTCCCTGGTACCAAGCACAGTACCTGGCATATAGAAGGAGCTCAGGTAAATATTGACTGAAAGAATGGATCAATAGTGATTCACCTTTCATTGAAACAATGAAAGAACCCAAGGGAGTATCCTATCCTGTCTCTTCCATCAATGTACTAGTGTAATCACAGCATTTTTGTAAAATCGGCTATGCCTTCCCCCCTTTTTTACAGATGGGTAATTGGATATAGGTAGGCTCTTCAGTGAGACTAATAACAGAGAATTAATGCCCACTAGGCAGGTCCAACATACATTTGATGAATAAGAGCCCCAAGGCCCTTAACCAAACTTGCAATTGTATCCTATCTACCAAGTCTTTTTTTTTTTCTGTTCAATTCACTCCTCTGGGACACTGTTCTCTAGTTGTTCCTAATATGATATATTCTGGGGAAACTCACCCCCCAAGTTTGCATATCTTTCAGCAGGCCTCTAGGTCACTCCATCCTCAATCTTTTGGATGGCTCAAAGAGCTGGGAGGAGTCTTTCTGTCAGGAGAGGTACAAGGAGTTGCCTGTGAGTAGCTGAGTGCGTCTGGCCTATAGTCCAGTCTTCAGTCCAGAAAGGATGCAGTGCTTACTACTGGCCAGATACTTTATGTTTTTTGTTTGCACTTAATTCTCATTTAATAATCCTATGGCCCCATTACCTGTATTTCACAAATGAGGAAAATTGAGGCTTAAAGGTCATACAACTTGTCCAAGGTCATAAAGCTAGGACATGATGGGTCCAGGCTTAAACTCACTTGAGGCCTAATAACCATATTAGGCCTCACTAGGCCTAATAACCATGCTCTAATAACCATAATAGGATAATGTTTATGGCTTTAAAATATTTTTAAGGTTAACACCATTCCATGGGTTTACTGGTCATTTTCTAGTGAATTACCTTTTTAGGCCTTAGCCTATTTTACTTAGGTACTCATCTTTTTCTTACTAATCTAATTGGGCTTTGTATATATTAACCATGTGCCAATATATATATTAGCCATGTGTCATATATGCTGCAAATATTGTTTCAATGGCCTTTTAACTTTGTTTTAAAGTGAGTTTCCCCAAACAAAAGGGCTTAATTTTTATACAGTCAACTATTTTTCCTTTGTGGTTACTACCCATAAGTTGCACTTAGAATATCCCTCTTTACCCAAAGATTTTTTTGAATATTTATTTATACTTCATTCTAACACAGAATGAAATTATTATATAGGTATGTATATATATGTACGTTGATATAACATTTTTAAGTACATTGGCATATTTTGTTTTTAAAAAAAATAGTCAAAACTGGTTTGGCTCAGTGGATAGAGCGTCGGCCTGCGAACTGAAAGGTCCCGGATTTGATTCTGGTCAAGGACATGTACCTTGGTTGCGGGCACATCCCCAGTGGGGGGTGTGCAGGAGGCAGCTGATCGATGATTCTCTCTCATCGATGTTTCTAACTCTCTATCCCTCTCTCTTCCTCTCTGTAAAAAAAATCAATAAAATATATATTTTTTTAAATTTGTGAGTGGTCCTGCTGGTGTGGCAAGAAAGGTCACTGGTTCGATTCCTGGTCAGGGCACATACCCGGGTTGCGGGCTCAATGTCTTTTTCTATCTGCGCCAATAAACACCTTCGCACATAGTACCTCAATGCTGTTTATAACAAATGAGCAGCTGATTTTAATTTCTATGCTTCCCTGATTGGCCTGTGTATGTGAGTCCCCAGTTGGTAACCTAAAAGCTACAGGAATTTAGACCTAATTCATTTTGGCTACCAGGAAGGGACCTTGAAGTACCAGGAGGGCCTGCACTGGCCAATCCGGGAGTGAAAGGATTCCGTACACCTGCGCCCATCTCTTCCTGGCACAGCCCCAGGCCCCGGCTGTCTCCCCTAAAGACTCAGGGAACGTTTAGAGGTTCACTTACAAACATTACAACCAGAAAGCACCTCAGAGATAAGGGGGAGCCCATCCAGCGCATTTGACCGATGAGGAAATTGAGGTCCAAACAAGTACAGAGAACAACTAGAGAGCCGGGCGATTTAATGGCAGAATCGTACCTACAACCCAGGTCTCCCGCCCTTCCAAGGCACCAGGCTGCCTGCCTTCCTCAATAGAACCCCCAGACTGAGGTTCTTGGGGTTCCGGGTCAGCTGTACCGCTGTCTGGTTGGGGCACCTGGGGCTGGTCTAAAACCTCCTTGGATCAACTGGGGTGAAAATGTACCAGCCTTTCGGGACAGCGGTGCGGAGCAAATGCCATAGTGCATGGGAAAGGAATTTTGTGTTGATTTATTAGTAACACAATACATATTCAGGACACCAGGGGGTGTCCGGGGATGCGCGTCCCAGTTACGTCATCTCTCTGGACCTCAGTTTCCTCATCTGCAAGTGTGGGGCCCGGCTTGGGTGGCGGCCGCGACGCTTTCCGCTCCGGCCCCGGGCCGAGGCCCTCCCCGGGGCGCGAGCGCGGGGGCCGGACCCGGGGGAGGGCGAGGGGACCCGCGGGGCGCCTCCAATTACCGTCCTGCAGCAGCGCCGTCTTCTCGGCCGCCCGCAGGCTCTCCAGCCAGCCCGTCACCGCCATCTTCCCGCCGCCGAGCCCTGCGTCCGGCCGCTACCATGACGACCGGCCCGCCCAGGGTCACTTCCGGGTGACCCGGATGTGGTTCTGGCCATTTTCCTTTCTCCTCTCCCCCTCCCCCTCCATCCTCTCCCATTGGCTTCCCTGCTCAGTAAGTAGAAGTTTACTCTTCTCAACCCCCGGTGGTTTGCTGGGCCTGAAGCGGCCCCTGCCCCGGGCCGAACCCAGGGAGTGGGGCGGGTCCTCAGGGCGGGGTCCGGGCCAGTCACCCCTCCTATGGCTTCCAGCTGGGATGGCCCGGAGCTCGCTCCAGCTGCGACCGCAGCGGACGCCCCACACCTGCCGGAGCCTCACCCCCAGCTGTGAGGCTGAGATTCCGCGGCCCCGGAAGGCGCTGCGCACCTGCTGTGTCTGTGCCCGGTCTCCCCGCACCTGCGGGGCTGAGCACCGCCGTGCGGAGCAGCCTGCGACCCGGGCAGGTGCGCCCAGGGCGTTCCCCCTGTCTTCCTAACTTCCCGCCCGTGCATCGCACCCCCAGATTTTCCTCTGCGGGTCAGTGATGGGGGGAGAGAAAGATTATGAAGCGTTTGTGCCGATTTCCACCCAATCTCCACTCCTCTTGGGAGCCCAAGCCCTTCCTAAAGTTACAGCTCCATTTCCTAACTTGGCATCCCCTTAGGGAAACCCCGTTGGGACGCAGCCCTGTAGACACTGCACTGAATCTTTAGAGCAATCCCTCTGAGGAATGATACTGTTTAGGCCCCCTCACCCCGGCCCCCAAAAGAAAAAAAGTTCCCCCAATAGTTTCATTTTTCTCCCCGATTTCCCCCAAGTATCTGACTTTGAAAGAGTGAGGCTAAGCCACTGAAGTTCAAATGGGTTTGGGGAGACCCTGGAGAACTGGGCTACTGCCCCCAAGGCCTGGTCAGTAGAGATCCCACCTCCATAGTCAAAGGAGTTGGGGAACCCTAGTTCTCCATTTCTACATGACAGCTGCCCTGATCAACCCTCAAACAGAAAGGCCAGGATCCAGCCATACCTCAATGGACCCCAGGGGCATCTTGAAGGCATTTCCCAAACGGAAGAAAAGCCTTGCCAATCCGTCATCAAAAGCACTTGCAAAGATTCCCAAGAGGGAAGACGAAGAAGAAGAAGAAGCAAGAGGTGAGGGAACCCAATATCAGAAACCTCATTGTTCATGGCCAGAAGCAGATAGAGCTGACTCTGCCTGCCCAGGGACTGCAGGTTGGCTTATGCCCGCCTTGCAGTAGGCTTGGTCCCAGGTCTTTGACAAACCACCTGCTGTTACCTTCCACTCCACCCTGAGACCGCCATTAATCAGAAAGTACTCTCTAGTCCCTAAGGAAATGACCAGCAGAATCCTTTGCTCTTCAGGAGGTTCCCTGCAGTGTGTGTGTGTGTGTAGGGGGGAGGGGGAGAGGGAGAAACCAGAGTGAGGGGAGCAGAAATCCATCTCGGGCCCCTAGAGTTAAAAGGTATTTTGTAGCCCAATTGATAAATAGATGGCAAAAATTTACATGGGGTGGGAAGGAAGGATCTATCAGAGTGTGGGGCCTGTAAGATATATATGTCTTGTGCCTGGTATACAGTAGGTATCTATGAATACTTGTTGAAAGAAATGAACAAAGTGGTTTATGGAATGCCTACAATGTGCCAGACGCTTCTAGTTTTCCTCGTACTTGATGACACATGAGGAAATTAACTGTGTGCTTGTGGTGGAACCCTCAGAAGACAGGTTGCCTGGATGAAAGAAAAGTGATTGTTTGGGGGTAGGAGACTCTAATGGGATAGTTCAGATCAGGTCTGAAAGTTCTGACAATCAGGCATATGGATGTCTCCTCCACAGAGTGGCTGAGCTCCCTACGGGCCCATGTCGTGCCCACTGGCATTGGGCGAGCCCGGGCAGAACTCTTTGAGAAGCAGATTGTCCAACACGGTGGCCAGATATGCTCTGCCCAGGCCCCAGGGGTCACTCACATCGTGGTGGATGACGGCATGGACTGTGAGCGAGCCCTTCGCCTCCTTAGACTGCCCCGGCTGCCCCCCGGTGCCCAGCTGGTAAAGTCGGCCTGGCTGAGCTTGTGCCTGCAGGAGAGAAGGCTGGTGGACACGGCAGGATTCAGCATCTTCATCCCCACCAGGTGGGCTGATCCCAGTCTTTCCTCAAATGTTTTCTGGCAGCATCTTGAGCCCTTCCTTTGGGTTATAAAAAATAACGCTCATTGTCTTAATTGAATACATTAGAAACCCAGTGTTTCTGAGGAGAGGACTGAGAGCAGAGTTAGGGCGAGACCTTTGGTGTCTTAACATCCCATCACCATCCCTGCAGGTACCTGGACCAACCACAGCTCAGTGAGGCAGACCGAGACTCTTCTACCAAAGCCTGTGAGGCTCTGCTCACCACACCCCTCTCTCCTCCCCCTCCTCCCACTAGACCCGTGTCTCCTCCCCAGAGGATAGAGGAAGCTCCAAACGCCTCAGCCCAGGTAAGGAGCCTTTCAGCCCCAAGAGCCCACTTTCCCTGGAACCTGGATCATAGAAACAGGGAGAGCCTAGTGGTTGTTCAGAAAGTCCGGGGCCCCTGAGAGAGGAAGCCATTTAGCTCTTCCCAACACTCATCACTCCTATGTTTGCCCAGATCCTATCTACCACATGCCACTGGGCACCCTAGAGCTGGACCAAGGAGTCAAGTGGAACACGTCCCCAAACTTAAGGAAACCAAGTCAGACGCAGAAGACACAGCCTAGTTCTTGGGTCTCACTGGGAGACTCAACCCCCACCTTCGAGGAGCATTCCCGGGGGCATGGATTCACTGTCTCCTCTTCTTCCTTACCTCAAGCCTGCCTCTGATGATGACACCAGTGACGGGGAAGAGACCCAAGTGAGCGCAGCTGATTTGGAAGCCCTGATCAGTGGCCGCTACCCCAGCCCCGCTGAGGGCGATGGGGAGCCTAGCCCAGCCCCCGAGGGTCTGAATAAGTGGGTCTGTGCACAGCCTTCAAGTCAAAAGGCGACCAACCACAACGCCCACATCACAGAGAAGCTGGACGTGCTAGCCAAAGCCTACGAAGTCCAGGGAGACAAGTGGAGGGCCCTGGGCTACGCCAAGGCCATCAACGCCCTCAAGAGCTTCCACAAGCCTGTCACCTCCTACCAGGTACGTGGGGGCGGGGGCGGGGGTGCAGAGAGGTGGGATGTGGTCTTCTCTTTGCTGCCGAGAGGTTGGTGGAGGCCCTGGCCACAAGTGGGGATCGGGTGGAATGGTTAAGATTTTATGATGTCTGGGAATCACACAAAAGAAAAAAAATGGGGGGACTGATGAAAGCAGTTTGGCAAAATCTTGATAATTGTAGAAGCTGGGTATTGGTTGCTTGGGGGTTTGTTACACAGTTCTCTCTACTTTGGAATTTTTTCCATAATAAAGTTTTTAAGACGTTTAGACTCTGGAGGCCAACAGAGCGATGTTTGGATTCTGTTTTCCATCATTCACTATTTGTGTGACTTCAGGCAAGTTACTTAAACCCACTGAGTGTCAGTTTCTTCGCTCGCTCGCTCGTAAGAAGAAGCTAAGAAAAGTAACACGTCCAGTGTTCTGTGAGGACTGAATGAGATGATCTCTGTGGTGCACGACCTGCCGCCACACAGTCAACGTTGGCTCTCTATTGTGATGATGACGACCAGTGTCACCATTATTGCCTTTTTTTCTACTTCCTGTGCTGATCTCCATCCCTCTGGGAAGCAAAAGACAACTTAACCTTCCCATTCCATCCAAACCTCTCATCTCCAGTAGTGCCCAAGCTTCACATAGTAGCCATTAATTGCGATCTGGCCGACTGGCTTTTACTGACATCTGCTAAAGGAATCAGCTTCCCCGCCCTCTGGCCCTGCCCATCCTGTCTTCTCACTCTTTTTTTCCTGCCTCTGCCAATCCCTTCCTCCAGGAAGCCTGCAGCATCCCTGGGATCGGGAAGCGGATGGCCGAGAAGGTCATAGAGATTCTAGAGAGCGGGCACCTGCGGAAGCTGGACCACATCAGCGACAGCGTGCCCGTCTTGGAACTCTTCTCCAATATCTGGGGAGCTGGGACCAAGACCGCCCAGATGTGGTACCAACAGGTCATCCCTTGCCCCAGGCTCCTCTCAGTTCTGCTGTGTCTCAGAGCTCCTGAACTGCAGTTCTCTTACCCTGCGCTCTGATGGGCATGAACCCAGACTATAGGGACCAGGGCTCATGTAGACCCCGCTCCCAGCTCCCGGAACTGCCCTGTGGCTTGGTATACTTGAGGCATTCATCTGTGGCAGAGGCGAGAAGTCTGTTTCTCTGTCTCAGACCAGCAAGGGCCTTTCTGAAGAGGCCAGGCCTCAGGGTGAGTATCCAGAGCAGTGGTTCCCGGATCTGGCTTGTCCAGACTCACCCCTAGACCAACAGAATCATGTTTGAGGCTTGTGGCAGGGCTCAGCTGGGGTGGTCTCCCATGCCTCCTGCCTTCCCCAAGCCCACTGATTAGAGACCCAACGGCTCCCGGGAGGTCCTGGAGTCTGGGTGATGGAAGCCTTGTGTGTGGGCTCACTCACTGCCTCCGCATTGGTCCTGGAGCCTCACGGTGCCCCAACTGGCTTCTTTTCTCCAGGGTTTCCGGAGCTTAGAAGACATTCGCAAGGAGGCCTCCCTGACTGCCCAGCAGGCCACTGGCCTGAAGCATTACGATGACTTTCTGGAACGCATGCCCAGGGAGGAGGCTGCCGAGATTGAGCAGACAGTAAGCAAGGGTCTCAGAGCAGTGAGCAGAGCCAGGCCCTGCTGGAAGGTCAGGGCCAAGAACTCCTGGTCCCTCAGCCGGGGGGCCTAACAGGCAGAGGAAGCTGTGGGCCACCAGGGGTTAGGATCAGGGTGGAAAGAGCGAGTTAAGACGAAAGCTCTGGCAGGGAACTAATTGGGATTTGAACTACTGGGTTAGGCTGGGTTAAGGCAGAGGTTCTTAGCATTTGTGATTCACAAACTTCTTTGAGAACCTGGTGAAAATGTTCTCTCGAGAAGTTGTACAAACGTACAGCGTTTTATGTCTCTTTCCAGACGTACGGACTTTCTGAAGCCCCTGTGTGGGTTAGAGGTGGTGAGGAAGCCCAGTGCAAGTAGGACTAAGTTTGGGGTTAGAAGAAAGTTAGATCAAGAAATGAGTTAAGGTTTGGCCTGAATCAGCAGTAAGTTTTAGTATTGGATGCTTTTATTTATTTTTTATTTTAAAAATATATATATTTTATTGATTTTTTTTACAGAGGAAGGGAGAGAGATAGAGAGCTAGAAATGTCAGTGAGAGAGAAACATCAACCAGCTGCCTCCTGCACACCCCCCACCGGGAATGTGCCCACAACCAATGTACAGCCCTTGACCGGAATCGAACCTGAGACCCTTCAGTCCGCAGACTGATGCTCTACCATGAGCCAAACCGGTTTCGGCAGTATTGGATGCTTTTAGTTAAGATTCGTGGTTGCCCTAGAAATAAGGTTTGGCCAAGATTAGGGTTTGGCCTAGAGGTTTGGTCTATAACTGGCGTTGGGATTAGAAGCTGGTTCTGTGGACAAGGTTTGCTTGGTCTAGGTCGCTGCTAGCGTAGAACCCCAGGGAAACTCTACGGACAGCTTAGTTGGAATCACTGCCAGCTCCTCTCCAGGCCCCAGGAATCTGAGGCCGGCCCCTTTGTTCCCCCATCACCAGGCCTGGGTGTCAGTGATGACACCGTCACTCAGCCACGGTGTCCAGGCAAGGAGAATGCCCCAGTGAGCCTCCGGCCTCCTGCCCACCTTGCCCACTCCCCATTGAAGGCTACAGCCTGGGGAGTTTTTGATGGGATTACCCGCCCTGGGCCTCCTCCTGTCTTCTTGGGAGGCTCCAGAGGGAGTGAGGGATTAGCAGAGCCCCTTGTCAGCAGAATTGAGGTGTCAGGGTTGAGGGTATTCAGGGCCCCAGAAACCTCAGTATCCTGGGGCGGAGGCGGGAGGCCATCTGCATATGAAAGGCCTTAGTGTCTCTGGGTATCGGCTAATGGGCTTATCCCTCTCAATGAGGGATGAGCCTTCAGCTGACAGTCTCCTCTGTCACAGCTCACTCCTCACCCGTCCCATTCCTCCGAGTGAGGATGTGAACATTGGCTCAGATTTGTCTTCCTTTCTCCCTTTACCTCCTTCCCTTCCCGTCTCTTCCCCTCTTCCCCTCCCCTCCATCACGGTGTAGCTCTATTTCCGGCCGCCTCTCTCCTCCACGCATCACAGATGTAGTTTTATTTCTGGGTTCCATTTTCCCCAGGCTTGGGTCCAGAACACCCTGCCGGCCACCTGTTCAGGCCTCAAGCCCCAACTCACACGCTCTGCCTATCGTACTAAATCCATAGATTATAGATTACACACACACACACACACACACACACACACACACACACACACACACCCCGCCCCAGGCTGCTGAGACCTGGCTGAGGACTTTCAGGGCCGGCCCTTTGTCCTACGTGGGTTTCACAGACCTGGGTTATGAAGGGGCACGTGGGTTGGGGAGGGACTGCCTGCGTGTCTGCTCTGAAGGAGCCCGAAGGGAAGATCAGTTCTCTCCCTCAGGGTCTCTCAGGCATCCTAGTGAAGCCAGGGAACTGCTGCTCCCAGGGTAGATCTCTGGCCTCTGTCCCCCCGGGGCCCATTCCCTACGGCCTTGTTCGCGCACCAGGGATTGGCTCGGGGCATCAGCGGGGAGGCCCCTGCGCTGACACCGGAGGAGCTCCTTGAAGAGCGTAAGGTCCACAGCCCCTCCGCCCTCACTGCCTTCCCAGGTCCGGGAATCGGCCCAGGCCCTCAGCCCTGGGCTGTTGTGTGTGGCCTGCGGCTCCTACCGCCGGGGGAAGGCCACCTGCGGTGACGTGGACGTGCTGCTCACTCACCCCGACGGCCGGTCTCACCGGGGCGTCTTCAGCCGCCTCCTTGACAGCCTCCGGCAGCGAGGTGCGAGCTCCATCTCCGGGTGAGCGAGTCGGCAGGGCCAGGGCAGGGCGAGGCGGCCGGGAGGGAGAGCCCCAAAGGCACCACCTCTAGGCAGGAAGCAGGGCAGGTTGTTCCTGAGGATCCCGCCCCCCGCTTGTGACCATTTCAGGGGAGAGATGCAACAGCCCCAACCACACAGGTGCCCAGGACCACCTGCAGGTGGAGTGTCTCATCAGGTCCCCCTGTGGCAGGGGGAGGGGAGGGTCGTAGGGGGCGGGAGGAATCTCTGTGCACATTTTACAGGCGAGGAGACGGGCCCAGAGAGGGCCAGGTCACCCAGCAAGTAAATGAGTCCCCTGGGACTGGAGGACCCAGGATGGTCCGGAGAGAGCCGGGAGGAGGGGATGGCCCGGGCCTGGCTCCCAGCCCTCCCATCAGCCCTCCCCCCCCCCCCCCCTGTGTCGGGCCAGGGTTCCTGACGGATGACTTGGTGAGCCAGGAGGAGAACGGTCAGCAGCAGAAGTACCTGGGCGTGTGCCGGCTCCCAGGACCAGGGCGCCGGCACCGACGACTGGACATCATCGTTGTGCCCTACGGCGAGTTCGCGTGCGCCCTGCTCTACTTCACCGGCTCTGCCCACTTCAACCGCTCCATGCGGGCTCTGGCCAAGACCAAGGGCATGAGCTTGTCGGAGCACGCCCTCAGCTCCGCTGTGGTGCGGGACGCCCGAGGCCTCAAGGTGGGGGCTGGCCGAGTGCTGCCCACCCCGACCGAGAAGGACGTCTTCAGGCTCCTGGGCCTGCCCTACCGAGAGCCCGCTGAGCGGGACTGGTGACCACCAGCTACCCAGGACTCCTCTCTGGCCGAACTTCGCCACTCCAACCTCTGGGAAAGGGCCAGCCTCGCTCCCCGGGCCTGCCCTGCCCTCCCCTGACAAGAGCAGGCTGTCTCCCTGCTGCCCTTGGTAGAAGTTTGCCTGCGGCCCATTGCCCCACGTTGAGCAGGAACAGGTGGCTGGTTTGAAGCCAGCTCTTGTGCTGAAGGCCCGGGCATCCCCCTCCTCTACTCTGAGGAGGGTCTGGCTGCTGGGGATGGGAAGGGGCTGCAGGGGCAAGGCGAGCAGCTCTGGCCCAGCATTACCCAAGACCCTTTGGAGCAGGAGAATGAACCACTTCGCATACTTCCTCTTCCCACCCGCTTCCTGCGCAGCTGGAGGTGCTGGGAGAGGTGCCTCAGGCTCCGGGACAGCATGGGAAGACCCAGCGGCCCAGTAAAGTGCATTTGACCTTCAACCTGCCTGGGGTCTGAGCTGCTGCAGCCCCTGCCTGCCTGCCTGCCTCCACCAGGTGGGCATGCAGAGGGGACTGACCGGGAGCCGGAAATGCACGTTAGCTGCTCTGCTCTAGGCCAGGCCCGACCAGCTCCTGAGCCCAGAGGACATGGCGACGTGGAAAGGGAGAACTCTGGGAGTCAGGCAGTTGGGGTGCCTGCCTTCCCATCAGCCTCTCCCGCGGGTCCTGCCCTGGAACAGGCTCTCTGGGAGCATGAACGAAGACTAGCCTGGTTGGTGTGGCTCAGTGATTGGGCGTCAACCTATGAACCTGGAAGTCATGGTTCTATTCATCGTCGGGGCTCGAACCCCAGTGTGGGGTGTGCATTTTTTATTGATTTCTGTGAAATCAATAAAAAATATTTTTTTAAGAAAGTGTCTAAGACTCATTAGGAACAACTAATGGTGACCTGTGTGCCATTGTCAAGGGTGAGGCAGTCAAGGAAGGCTGCCTGGAGGAGGGGAGGGGCAGGCTGGCAGGGAAGTAGCCTATTTGAGAGGTTAACTTATACACAGACTTCCCCAACGGGAGGAATAGTGCTGACTTCTACGTCTGAATCCAGGGGCCCCCGTTCCTGCCATCCCCCTCCCATCAGGAGACTCCTAATTCCAAAGGCCCCTTCAGACCAAACTCTGGTTCCCCTGGTAAGGGCAACAGGAAATCGCAGGGTACAAGGGTAGAGTGCCATATCCTCCAGAGAGCCAGCCGGAGGGTGGTCTGGGCTGCACACGCTGACACAGGAGCCCAGGAAGAGAGCTTCCTCTTGGGGTTACCCAGTTTGGGGGAGGGGTGGGTCTCTGGTGCAGAGGAAGCCAAGAGTGGAAGGGATTCCCCAGCCCCTGAGAGTCTGCCCCTGGTTTCAGCCCCGTGTGCCATCCTGTTGGATAGGGAGACTGAGTTCAGCGCGCAGCAACTGGGAACCCCCAAATCACCGCCCAGTCACCACGAGCTTCCTGCCCCGGCCCAGCCATTGTCTCTGTCCCTGAGCCAGAGTTGCCCTGGTTAGACCACAGGTCTGGTAGGATAATCTTCCCCAAAGATGTCTACACCCTGACCCCTGATACCGGTGAGTATGTTATCCCACTGGTGGAAGGGACCTTGCAGCTGTCCTTAAGCTTTATTTTGAGGTGAGATTATCCTGGACTATCCAGTGGGTTCAACCTAATCATGAATCCTTAAAAGTCGGAGAGAGACATGAGAGGGAGGGAGGGTCAGAGAGGTGCGATGTTCCTGGCTTTGGTGACACAGGTACCACCAGCTAAGCAATGCGGTGCCTCTGGAAGCCGGCGGAGCAAGGACACATTGGACTCTAGAACCTTCATAAGGGCACGCAGCCCCGAAGGCGAACACCTTCCGGGCCTCCCCGCCATCGCAGAGGCCAGCCTCACCAGACACCATCGCTGTTGGGGTACCTAATGCTCCCGGCTCCACAGACCCCGGAGCTGCCCCAGGCCAAGATCGTTAGCCCGGTGTTCACCGTGCCCTTCGGTCCAGGCGCCAGGCAGCTGGCTTTCCAGAACCCCTGAGCCTCTGGCATCCTGTTTCTGAGCTCTGGGACAGGGGCCCCCAGGCTGGAGTCCCAGAGCAAAGCCTCCTCCTCCTCATCTGAACTGGGAGCTCTGCGAGCCCTGGGCCACCCGCCACGGGGGGCAGAGCGGGCCACGGGGGGCAGAGCGGGCCAGGGGGGTCAGTGCAGGCCACGGGGGTCAGTGCGGGCCATGGGGGTCAGTGCAGGCCACGGGGGTCAGTGCGGGCCAGGGGGGTCAGTGCGGGCCGTGGGGGTCAGTGTGGGCCAGGGGGGGCAGAGCGGGCCACAGGGGTCAGTGCGGGCCACGGGGTCAGTGCAGGCCACGGGGGTCAGTGCGGGCCAGGGGGGTCAGTGTGGGCCAGGGGGGTCAGTGCAGGCCGGGGGGTCAGTGCAGGCCATGGGGGTCAGTGCGGGTCAGTGCAGGCCACGGGGGTCAGTGCAGGCCACGGGGGTCAGTGCAGGCCACGGGGGTCAGTGCGGGCCACGGGGGTCAGTGCGGGCCACGGGGGTCAGTGCGGGCCACGGGGGTCAGTGTGGGCCACGGAGGTCAGTGCAGGCCATGGGGGTCAGTGCGGGCCATGGGGTCAGTGCGGGCCATGGGGTCAGTATGGGCCAGGGGCGTCAGTGCGGGCCGTGGGGAGTCAGTGCGGGCCGTGGGGGTCAGTATGGACCATGGGGGTCAGTATGGGCCGTGGGGGTCAGTGTGGGCCGTGGGGGTCAGTGCGGGCCACGGGGTCAGTGTGGGCCAGGGGGGTCAGTGCAGGCCGTGGGGGTCAGTGCGGGCCGTGGGGGTCAGTGCGGGCCGTGGGGGTCAGTATGGACCATGGGGGTCAGTATGGGCCATGGGGGTCAGTGCGGGCCGTGGGGGTCAGTATGAGCCGTGGGGGTCAGTGCGGGCCGTGGGGGTCAGTGCGGGCCGTGGGGGTCAGTATGGACCATGGGGGTCAGTATGGGCCATGGGGGTCAGTGCGGGCCGTGGGGGTCAGTATGAGCCGTGGGGGTCAGTGTGGGCCGTGGGGGTCAGTGCGGGCCGTGGGGGTCAGTATCAGCCGTGGGGGTCAGTATGAGCCGTGGGGGTCAGTATGAGCCGTGGGGGTCAGTATGAGCCGTGGGGGTCAGTGTGGGCCGTGGGGGTCAGTATGAGCCGTGGGGGTCAGTGCGGGCCGTGGGGGTCAGTGTGGGCCGTGGGGGTCAGTGTGGGCCGTGGGGGTCAGTGTGGGCCAGGGGGTCAGTGTGGGCCAGGGGGGTCAGTGTGGGCCAGGGGGGTCAGTGTGGGCCAGGGGGTCAGTGTGGGCCAGGGGGGTCAGTGTGGGCCAGGGGGGTCAGTGTGGGCCGTGGGGGTCAGTGTGGGCCAGGGGGTCAGTGTGGGCCGTGGGGGTCAGTGCGGGCCGTGGGGGTCAGTATGAGCCGTGGGGGTCAGTGTGGGCCGTGGGGGTCAGTGCGGGCCGTGGGGGTCAGTGTGGGCCGTGGGGGTCAGTGTGGGCCGTGGGGGTCAGTATGAGCCGTGGGGGTCAGTGCGGGCCGTGGGGGTCAGTGTGGGCCGTGGGGGTCAGTATCAGCCGTGGGGGTCAGTGCGGGCCGTGGGGGTCAGTATGAGCCGTGGGGGTCAGTGTGGGCCGTGGGGGTCAGTATCAGCCGTGGGGGTCAGTATGAGCCGTGGGGGTCAGTATTAGCCGTGGGGGTCAGTATGAGCCGTGGGGGTCAGTATGAGCCGTAGGGGTCAGTGCGGGCCGTGGGGGTCAGTATGGGCCGTGGGGGTCAGTGCGGGCCGTGGGGGTCAGTATGAGCCGTGGGGGTCAGTATGAGCCGTGGGGGTCAGTATGAGCCGTGGGGGTCAGTATGAGCCGTAGGGGTCAGTGCGGGCCGTGGGGGTCAGTATGGGCCGTGGGGGTCAGTGTGGGCCGTGGGGGTCAGTGTGGGCCGTGGGGGTCAGTGCGGGCCGTGGGGGTCAGTATGAGCCGTGGGGGTCAGTATGAGCCGTGGGGGTCAGTATGAGCCGTGGGGGTCAGTGTGGGCCGTGGGGGTCAGTATCAGCCGTGGGGGTCAGTGCGGGCCGTGGGGGTCAGTATTAGCCGTGGGGGTCAGTGTGGGCCGTGGGGGTCAGTATCAGCCGTGGGGGTCAGTGTGGGCCGTGGGGGTCAGTGCGGGCCGTGGGGGTCAGTATTAGCCGTGGGGGTCAGTATGAGCCGTGGGGGTCAGTATGAGCCGTGGGGGTCAGTGTGGGCCGTGGGGGTCAGTGCGGGCCGTGGGGGTCAGTGTGGGCCAGGGGGTCAGTGTGGGCCAGGGGGTCAGTGTGGGCCGTGGGGGTCAGTGCGGGCCGTGGGGGTCAGTGCGGGCCGTGGGGGTCAGTGTGGGCCGTGGGGGTCAGTGCGGGCCGTGGGGGTCAGTGTGGGCCAGGGGGTCAGTGTGGGCCAGGGGGTCAGTGTGGGCCGTGGGGGTCAGTGCGGGCCGTGGGGGTCAGTGTGGGCCGTGGGGGTCAGTGCGGGCCGTGGGGGTCAGTGCGGGCCGTGGGGGTCAGTATGAGCCGTGGGGGTCAGTATGGGCCAGGGGGTCAGTGCGGGCCGTGGGGGTCAGTGTGGGCCGTGGGGGTCAGTGTGGGCCACGGAGGTCAGTGCAGGCCATGGGGGTCAGTGCGGGCCATGGGGTCAGTGCGGGCCATGGGGTCAGTATGGGCCAGGGGCGTCAGTGCGGGCCGTGGGGAGTCAGTGCGGGCCGTGGGGGTCAGTATGGACCATGGGGGTCAGTATGGGCCGTGGGGGTCAGTGTGGGCCGTGGGGGTCAGTGCGGGCCACGGGGTCAGTGTGGGCCAGGGGGGTCAGTGCGGGCCATGGGAGTCAGTATGGGCCAGGGGGTCAGTATGAGCCGTGGGGGTCAGTGTGGGCCATGGGAGTCAGTATGGGCCAGGGGGTCAGTATGAGCCGTGGGGGTCAGTGCTGCCAGAAAAGACCTGGAGGGAACACTCCTGGAAAGGCCGAA